CCACCCCTGCACGCAAGCTCTGTCTCCCACACATAAGCCCCGCATGGATGCAAGCTCCACCCCTGCACTCAAGCAGAAGAGGTCAAGAAATGTCTCCCACTGTCTTCAGTGCCAGGTAAGCTTCAGCCAATTTGTCAGTGACTTTGTGTGTATGTGCCTGCTAGTGAGTGAGCTTGTATGTAGTGAGCATGTGTGTGTGTGTAAGTGAGCTTGTCTGTCAGTGCACTTGTTTGTAGTGAACATGTGTGTAAGTGAGCTTGTCTGTAGTGAGCACGTGTGTGTCAGTGAGCTTGTCTGTCAGTTAACTTGTCTGTAGTGAATGTGTGTGTGTGTGTTAGTGAGCTTGTATGTAGTGAGCATGTGTGTGTGTCAGTGAGCTGGTATGTGGTGAGCATGAGTGTGTCAGTGAGCTTGTCTGTAGTGAGCATGTGTGATTCAGTGACCTTGTCTGTAGTGAGCATGTGTGATTCAGTGAGCTTGTCTGTAGTGAGTTTGTGTAAATGTGTGTATATATATATATATATATATATATATACATACACACACCCATGACACAGTGATTAATGTAATTTTTGTTTATGATTTGTCAGTGATTGTGTGTGGTGGAGGTCTGTGTGTATGTCTGTGATTGTGTTTGTGTAAGTCAGTGATTATGTGTGTGGGTCTGTGATTGTGTGTGTATATATCTGATTATGTGTTTGAAGATATGTGATTGTGCACATAGGTCTGTGACTATGTGTGTATGCGTTTGTGATTGTGTGTGTCTGTGATTGTTGGTGTATGTAAATCTGTGATTATGTATGTGACTGTGTGTATAGGTCTGTGATTGTGTGTGTGTGTATGTATAGGTCTGTGATTGTATGTGTATGTCTGTGTGTGTTCATCTGTGATTATGGGTGCGTATGTGACTGTGTATAGGTCTGTGATTGTATGTGTGTGTGTGGGTCTGTGATTGCGTGTGTATATTTGTTATTGTGCGCATAGGTCTTTGAGTGTATGTGTGTGTCTGTGATGTGTGTATAGGTTTGTGATTGTGGGTGTGTGTGTGTATGTAATTGTGTATGTGTATATATATGGTTATGTGTGCATATGCATGAGTATGTATTTAGTAGATAGCTCCCTAATTTGGTATCCTTAAATATGGCACTACCACATAAGGATAACAAATAAGGGAGTTATCTACTAAACAAAATTAATAAAAGAGGTTTTTAAGTTTTATTATACGATAGATTTTATGTGTGGCCCAAGACAATTCCTCTGTGCTCAATGCGGCCCAGGGAAGTCAAAAGGTTGGACAACCATGCTATAAAGGAACCACAGATTCTGGTATTTAGAGGAACAATTGAAGGCAAATTGAAAGAACAAATAATTTGACCATAAGGGACTTGATACAATTTAACAGGAGTATGTAACTATTCATTCAGTGACTCATGCAGGCTTTAATATATCTGTTTGCCTAAGAGAACACTAAGAGGTAACTTGCCACTCACTGTTAATTAATTTAAAAGAAAACTGCTTACAATTACACATTTTGACAACCTTCTCTGTAGGGATAACCTAGAAGATAATTGGTGCATTCTAAATAGGTCCTGTGCAATAAAGACAACAATTGTTTTTTCTTGATTTGAATTTGGATCCAGTGATTACTAGTATCCAATCGAAAGAGGTGGACAATCTACTAAACCCCATTATTTCTGGATTTAGAAGGTGAGCATGGCTTTGAATAGAGGCACATAAATAGAATAGAAATAGATGATTCTGCCTAGCAAGATAAAAATATGGACAGTTAGAAGAGTAAATATATGAAAATTGGAGGCAGGTGAGATGAGAGGCAAACAAAGATAAACTGATTATAAATGATCTAAAGAGACCAATGCATTTCCTATGTTCGAAATAATTAGATTTTGAATATAAAATAAATAGGAAAGTCCCCACTCTCTGCCTGCTTGCATGAAAATTAATTTACTCACTGCTGTCTATTTTGGAAAACCTCAGGTGAAAATGCCAACTTATCTATCTCTAGGTCCCAGCTCCCCTATAGCAGCAGATCCTCAATTCTCCTTAGGATCCCTTAGTCCCAAACCCAAGCCTTGGGTGAAATATTAGTCTAAGTAGTGCATAGTGCAAGTTAAAATAAAATAATATAAGAATTCCCGATGCACGTTTCTGTCCTACGCTAGCACCTTCGCCATGGAAAAACCTTAAATTTGATTTCCCAGGGTTTAAGAAGGGAATCCCAGTCCCTCCTTCAAGTCCGTCCACCAATCAAATATGTGTTACCGCCCCCTATGTGCATCATAGCTATCGAGGGCGGCACTTACCACCAAAATTAACACTGCTTCTATTGTCCTCTGTATATAATAAATAACTTCTCCTATACAGATATCCCTTTTATAATGGCGTAACCCATTGTACAGCGCTACGGAAAATTAGCCAGACTTGTTCCACTCATCGAAACATAGAAACATAGAATGTGACGGCAGATAAGAACCATTCGGCCCATCTAGTCTGCCCAATTTTCTAAATACTTTCATTAGTCCCTAGTCTTATCTTATAGTTAGGATAGCCTTATGCCTATCCCACGCATGCTTAAACTCCTTTACTGTGTTAACCTCTACCACTTCAGCTGGAAGGCTATTCCATGCATCCACTACCCTCTCAGTAAAGTAATACTTCCTGATATTATTTTTAAACCTTTGTCCCTCTAATTTAAGACTATGTCCTCTTGTTGTGGTAGTTTTTCTTCTTTTTAAATATAGTCTCCTCCTTTACTGTGTTGATTCCCTTTATATATTTAAATGTTTCTATCATATCCCCCCTGTCTCGTCTTTCCTCCAAGCTATACATGTTAAGATCCTTTAACCTTTCCTGGTAAGTTTTATCCCGCAATCCATGAACCAGTTTAGTAGCCCTTCTCTGAACCCTCTGTAAGGTATCAATATCCTTCTGAAGATACGGTCTCCAGTACTGTGTACAATACTCCAAGTGAGGTCTCACCAGTGTTCTGTACAATGGCATGAGCACTTCCCTCTTTCTACTGCTAATACCTCTCCCTATACAACCAAGCATTCTGCTAGCATTTCCTGCTGCTCTATTACATTGTCTGCCTACCTTTAAGTCATCAGAAATAATCACCCCTAAATCCCTTTCCTCATATGTTGAGGTTAGGACTCTATCAAATATTCTGTACTCTGCCCTTGGGTTTTTACGTCCAAGATGCATTATCTTGCACTTATCCACATTAAATGTCAGTTGCCACAATTCTGACCATTTTTCTAGTTTACCTAAATCATTTGTCATTTGGCTTATCCCTCCTGGAACATCAACCCTATTACATATCTTAGTATCATCAGCAAAAAGACATACCTTACCATCAAGACCTTCTGCAATGTCACTAATAAAAATATTAAAGATTATATAAAAAATATAAAAAATATTAAACATTAGTTGGACACTTTGCACACTCTGTTGATGCTTTCAAAGAACTGGAATGTATCTTCATGTATTGTGCATGCTAACAGGGTTTGCCTGGTCTATGCATATAGATCAATAGAGAGTGATACAAATGCTCTGCACACACCTTTAGGAAACACAAGCAAAAGAGTGGAGAAAGTATAGGAGAATAATACATGTATATTTTTTTCTCTCCTTCTATTAAAGGACCACTATAGTGTCAGGAAAAAAACTAATTTTCCTGGCACTATAGGGTCTTTAGGTCCCCCCCACCCTCAGGCTCCCACTCCCGCTGGGCTGAAGGAGTTAAAACCCCTACCTTTCTCAAGCGCCGGGGAACTCTCCTCCTCCTCCCGACGTCAGCGCAGAATGTGCATGCGCGGCAAGAGCCGCGCGCGCATTCAAACGGTCCATAGGAAAGCATTTCTCAATGCTTTACTATGGACGTCCGGCCTCTTCTCACTGTGATTTTCACAGTGAGAAGCGCGGAAGCGCCTCTAGCGACTGTCAGTGAGAGAGCCACTAGAGGCTGGATTAACCCCAGTGTAAACATAGCAGTTTCTCTGAAACTGTTTACAGCTGCATGGTTAACAATAGATGGACTTGGCACCCAGACCAATAGGCGTGCACACAGGGTGTGCCGGGTTCCTCTCGCGAGATCTGAGCGTTGCCGAAAGGATCCCCCCCGCCTACATAAGGTAATAAGGGAGGGGGGATATTAAGTAATCTGCCCCCACCTCCACTGGACCACCAGGGAAGGCAGCAGCACGGTCCCCCCTCCCTACATAAGGTAAGAAGGGAGGGGGGATATTTATTAACTAATCTGCTCCCACCTCCACATATCACCCACACAGCACACACACACACATACAGCACACAAACAGCACCCACACACACAGCACCCACACACAGCACACAAACAGCACCCTCACACACATCACACTAACAGTACCCTCACAAACAGCACCCTCACAGGACCCTAACAAACACACACACACACACCGCACACTACCAGTACCCTCACACACAAACAGCACCCTCACACACAGTACATTAACAGCACCCTCACAAACAGCACTCACACACACACACAGTACATTAACAGCACCCTCACAAGCGTGCACACACACACACACAAACACCGTCACCCACATAGCACACTACCAGCACCCTCACACACACATCACACTAACAGCACCAGCGCGCACACACAGCAATGTGTGTGTGTGTATATATATATATATATATATATACATACGCAGCTTGTGCTTTAGGGTGCACACCCTAATGCAATAGGCTGTGCACGCCTATGACCACTTCACTGAGCTGATGTGGTCTGGGTGCCTATAGTGGTCCTTTAACCTTATTTATTAGCACACAAAAAAAAATCCAAAAAAAAAAATCAGGAGATCGTACTTGTTCTGTGTAACAGAAATCTTTTGCTTTAAGTGACCTATACTGCAAAAATTGTATCTGCTATAATTATTAGCATTGGGGTTGTAATAATTTACAATGTAATAAGAATGGTCGTTCTGTTAATATTTTGTAGGTAGTCAAACAAGATCTGGGATGAGAAAATGCCTTATCTATCAAGACAGGTCCATGGAATGGTTTACAAGCAGCGAGGAATAGGTCAACTTCCTTCTCATGTTTTTACATTACAAAAAAAATACATGCAATTGTTACATAACAGTTTCCAGTGAGTTACACATTATTTCTGCAGTTTTATTTATTTATATTTTACACCATTATGCAAATTCGAATCAATGTACAGTTCAGTAAAATAAAATAGCATTAGTTATAAAACCTATAAAGTAATATATACAGGAAACACTATATACTTCTTGGCTTTTCTGGGTCAGAATACTTAAGTGCTGGTTTGAACTTTCTCAGCTGCACAAGAAATGCTATGAAATAAAAGAAAAATTACAGTTAAGTTGTTGGATGTGATTGGCATTTGTCATGATTCCAATCATTGTGTATACTGACAAATGAGTATCAGATGATGTCTTCTGGGATGCAGTTTAAATGGACATTACAAACACATACAACACTTTAGCTAGCTTAAAGGGTTTATGTGTGAAGTGTGTGCCCTTTTTTTCTTTACAAAAAAGACAGATTTTAATCAAACTTAACACTTTTATAAATTAACTTTGTTGCACCTTGGCTTGCAAAGGCTTCTCATTGAGCTGCATTCGGAAGTCTGTGATTGAACATCCACAGAAAGTCTGGGGAAGAATAGGTGGGCATGCAAAGGCTGCAATGGTTAAATGCATGCATGATTCCCTCACTAAACCCTAGAGTCCAGTGAAGTCAGAGGTCAATGTGAATAGTACCGGGCTATCCTGAGCATAGCCCTTTAGGTACAATTTACACACACACACACACACACACACACACACACACAAAAAAGGTTGAAGTAAAGGAAAACTCCAAAAAGGAGATCTACCTGGTATGTAAATGAAGACAGTAATAATCCAGGCTTTATTAAGCAATGCGTACTAAAACAATGCAATCTAACACATAAAGTGAAGGGGAGTGTAATGTCAAGAAACTAGTGTTAAGAGGTGGGTACATGAAAATAGGGAGACGTGGCTCCCCTTTAAAACTAGAAACACATCTACACTAAGCACTAGAAAGTGGATACTAACTTCCACTAATCTCAATTCTTATAACACAACACTCTATAGGCAAATTAAACTAAAGTTACATAACATCAGCTGGATAGCCTAATATAAATTGGATAAGCCCCAGAGTATGTACGGCTTAAAAGGGCTTTTTGATACATTTCTTTGCTTTTATTTCACTATAGCATATTTTGCATTAACAGCAACCAAGGTACCTAGTTCTATTTTCTCTATCTTTTGCACACAGATTTCTTCACCATCTTATAGGTGGGTAGCAGTGTTAATTTTGGCAGCAAATTTTAATTTCATAGTCTTTTGACTAAAAAGCCACTATAGTTTTAGTTGTATTTTAGTCATCTGAATTTTTTTAGTGTTAGTCTAGTTTTAGTTGATTAAATCTCCTGTAGATTTTAGTTGACACGACTAAAATCTAATGGGCTTTTTTAAAGCCTCTGTCTCTTTTACCCCTTCCCCAGACCCCCTAGGTGTCTCTCTCCCATGCCCTGGTCTGTCTTTTTTGCCCCTTCCACATTCCCTCTTTGCAGTGTTGTTTGGCAGCAAATTTCAATTTAGTTTTAGTCATAGTCTTTTGACTAAAAAGCCATTTTAGTTTTAGTCTTATTTTATTCATCTGAATTGTTTTAGACTAGTTTTAGTTGACTAAAGGTCAAAACATTTAGTCGACTAAAATTGTTCATCCAGCATCAGATAACGGACCAAAAGTCCATTACGATACCGGAAGCGCCCCCAGTGGCTGTCTGGTAGACAGCCACTGAGGGCAGAGTTAGTGCTGCAATGTAAACATTATGTCAATTTAGTTTAATATGCCTATAGAGTGTTGTTTCATTGGAACTGAGATTAGTAGGAATTAGTATCTACTTTCTAGTGCTTAGTGTAGATGTGTTTTTAACTTTCAAGGGGAGCCACATCTCCCTATTTTCAATTTACACACCTCTTAGCACTAGTTTCTTGACATTACACTCCCACCTGTATTTTCTATTGCGGAGTCTTCATTTTATATTGTTTAATTGTACAGTAGACATGGCTTAATAAAGCTTGGATTATTTCTGTGTTCATTTACTTACCAATCATGGGATCATCAAATCAGCATTAACTGCACTATAAATACATAACTGTGCCCACCCAATTAACCACCCTATAAACACACTGCTTTTAGCTCTACTCCCAACATGTTAGAGTATTTTTTAATATCTATCTCTATACAGCAGAAAACATTTACCTGTGTGGCCAGTTTGCCATGGCAAAGGGCGAGCAATGTATGGTACTTGTCCAAATGGTTTTATTTTAACTGAAGGGTTTTGTGCTGTAACACAGATCAACATGTTAATATCTCAATCACAGTGTTACAGGGCGAAATGGTGCAATCGGAATAAAAATACTTTCTCTCTATATATATATATATATATTCAAACAAAATACTGTGACTAATTTAATGTATATAATATATAGAATCAATAGAAATTATCTACTTGAACGAAAATTTCTAATGGGCTTACACAGGGCCTCTCTGAATTTAATCAGAGTACCAGGCTTCTCAGCTACTTCCTAAGACGCTGAAAATCATGTGGATATTCAGCAAACAAGGAGAACATTCAAAGTATTTTTTTACATTATCTAAATAATGAAAAATAAATTCAGATTGGAATGACTGCAAGCACCATAATCACTACAATAAGCTGCATAAATAAAACATGTAATAATTAGTCTTGTGCATTAATGTGTTTTAATAATGTGTTTCAGTTGGTTTAAATGAAACACATTCCTTCTAATCTACATTCTAACAAATCAAGCCAGGAATTTAACTGTGGTTTCTTATTCAATGAATAAGACTCCATATGTAAATCCCGGACGGATCAATTTGTTCAGGTGTAGCTTAAACAGAATTTGATTTGTTCAAGCCAGCTGAAATGCACTGATGCACAATCTAGCAATGATACAATAAAATACTATGATTATGATATTTACAGTATACCTTTAATTCTGTGTATATGCTAGTTAGTTACCCACTAGCAATTGTTTCCTATAAAGTTCACAGAATTAAAAAAAAAAAAAATTATTTACAAATATAGCTTTATACCATCACTGTCGCTCTCCTCGTTCTCGGGCTGTTCCAGGTACTCAGGGTCTGACTCTATATTCTTCTCCGGCTCAACTCTTGGGGATATAGAGCCATCTTTACGCACAGAGGGTGCTACCAGCCAGTCCTTATAGGAGACCTCCACTATCTTCTCACATACTAAGAACAGCTGGCATGAGCGGATCCCTTCCAAGAGATCGATGACCTGCGTGATACTGTGTGAAGCACAAACACATAACAAGAAGAGAAAACATTTCCTCTGTCACAAAACATATTAAAATTACAATAAAAGAATAGCATAACTGTCATGCAAAAAATACACGATATGGCTTTTTTTCAGAGAATAAAATGAATTCTATACATTGTGATGCCAAACTGGTAATAAATGAATACTTTACATATTATGTTTATATTTTACCTTTACACGTAAACGGGACACTATAGTCACCCAAACAACTTTAGCTTAATGACACAGTTTTGGTGTATAGATCATGCCCCTGCAGTCTCACTGCTCAGTTCTCTGCCATTTAGGAGTTAAATCACTTTGTTTATGCAGCCCAGGTCACACCTCCCTGCATGTGACTTACACAGCCTTCCTAAACTCTTCCTGCATAGAGTCATCTAATATTTACTCTTCCTTTATTGCAGATACTGTTTAATTTAGATGTTCTTATCTCCTGCATTATTAATAGCTTGCTATACCCTGCAGAACTGCAGAAACAAAGTGATTTAACTCCTAAATGGCAGACAATTGAGCAGTGATCTATACACCAAAACTGCTTCATTAAGCTAAAATTGTTTAGGTGGCTATAGTGTTCCTTTAACTTCTAAAACTACAAATATTCCATCTCCCAAAAGCAGTATGCCATGTACCTAAGTGGATACGGGTTCCTCTTTCAAAGGACACTCAGTGTAGTGGCTACTTTGCCAAGAGTCTCTGGACACTCTACTTACAGTGAGGTTTGATTATCTCCCCAACACCCAGAGACCAGAACTATAATAATAATGCAGAACTGACAAGTCTGTGAAACCTGGATGATGATGGTTGGCTGAGAGTATTGTATGTGGTTAACCCAGTGTTTTCAAACTACCACTGCAATCCAAGGGGTAAGAAATTGTTCAGAGAATAAACCTCAGATTTATTTTTAAAGTTGTCATGTATTCAAAGTGAGTTCAAAATTAATTTAAAATTGAAGGTCAAATAGCCAGACTAGAAAAAGTCTGCTTTGCTACCAGTTCATCTATTGTGTCCTTTAAAGGGACACTATAGTCACCAGAACAACTACAGCTTATTGAATTTGTTCTGGTGAGTAGAATCATTACCTTCAGGCTTTTTGCTGTAAACACTGTCTTTTCAGAGAAAAGTGTTTACATTACAGCCTAGTGATAACTTCACTGGCCACTCCTCAGATGGCTGTTACAGATCCTGTACTCATGTAGGAGGCTGGCGGCGAGGGATCACTCTGAGCTCTTCCTGATGCCGGAGCCGGAATATGACGTCGCTCCGGCATCACTGTGAGGTGTGCGAGGGAGCTGGGCTCCCTCGCAGCCCGCCTCCACTGCTCACCGTGTGCCAACCCACCCCGCCGAGCTACAGCCAGCCCCACTGGACCAAGGAAAAATCCACCAAAATGTAAGCAAAACAAAATTAAAAATTGGGAGTGTGTTTTATTGTGTGTCTGTTAGTGAGTGTGTGTGTTTCTGTCAAAGAGTGAGAGTGTGTGTGTGTGTGTCACAGTGTATATGTGTTTGTCAGTGAGTATCTGTTTGCCATTGAGAGTGTGTGTCTGTCAGTGTGTGTATGCATGTGTCAATGTATGTATCCATGTCTGTCACGGAGAGTATGTGACTGACACTGAATGTATATATGTCTGTCAGTGAGTGTGTGTGTGTTTGTCAGTGTGTATCTGTCAGTGAGTATATGTGTGTCCCAGTGTGGGTCTGTCAGTCAGTGTGTATGTGTCTGTCAGTTAATGTGAGTGTGTGTAACTGTGAATGAGTGAGTGTGTGTCTGTCAGTTAGTGTATATGTGTGTCTGTCGGTAAATGTGAGTGTGTGTATAACTGTGAATAAATGAGTGTGTATGTTTCAGTGAAAGTGTGTGTTGGTTAAACAGTTTGTGTGACAATGACTGTATCTGTAAGTGAGTGTATGTCAGTGCATGCATCAGTGAAGGCGTGTGTCTGTCAGGAAGAGAAATTTGGAAGGGATGGGGGAGGGTGCCTGAGTTGCAGGGCAGCACAAAACCAGAATACAAAACTGCATGCAATGAAATCATTGTGCTCTGCCAATCAAGTACTAATCCTTACAGAGCAGCAGTAAATCCAACTCCTCTCTGTGAAAGGCAATGGATGCTTTTGGTGTCATACTCTGCGAAGTGACCTCAAACATGAGGACCTTTGGAAAGGAGGAAGTATCTCTGGTGACTGTCTGACCACCACTTGGGTGTGTTCTCAGATGAATATAAATATTGCTGTTTCTCAGCAAAGGTAAGAGCTTACTGAAGAAGCTTCAAATCAAAAGAATTTACAGCAAATGACAAAACGTCAAATGTGAGTGATTCCTTTCTGTTATTTTCCATTTATGCCATCGTCCCTTTCCTTACAAAGTTCTGCCCTAAGCCTATGTCTTTTTGGTGTTAGCAGCTCACAGATTGTTTTTATATTAGAATAGCAGCAAGCAGTTACCCTACATCTAGGAATATTAATGGTGATAGATTATAACCAGTCTGTGTTAATCCTTATTCTGTTTGCTGTAGTGAATCGTTTCTTTATTTTAATTGCATATTAAAATACAATTATCAGGAAGTCAGAGGCTGCCTAAAATGTTGAGCCAGATTTCCACCCTTAGCAAACATTTCATGGGATTGATATAGTTCCCCAAATGCAGAGTTAAGGCCAAATTCTGAATGCAGAGAAATAGGGATTCTATGAAAATACAGAATCTGAACATGATATGTGCAGATATCTTACATAACTCAGCCATATTTGATTGCGTCCACTCAATAGAGAGTATGCCCAACACCGTTCTGCTCTTCAATGGCAGCAATCTGCAGGTGCCCTGCTTACTTGATCTGCTCTTGTAACAGCAGAACATCGCTTTGATTATTCCCTGTAGGAGAAAATTTCCAATTGTACAGAGCTGCAGAATATGTTGGCACCTTTATAAATGCTGGTAATAAATAAATAGAAGCATATTGTTAGAGTACCACAGATGCACGCGGCATGCATGAAGTCCCCCCTAAGTGCATCCCATTAAGGTGAATAGGATGCAAACATGAGACATCACACCTGCATTTTATGTGGTCTTCCATCCTAAAACAGCACTATAGTCAACAGAACCAGTACAACTTAATGTAGTGTTTCAGGTGTCTATAGTCTGTCCCTGCAGGCCAGTGGCGTACTAATGGAGGGGTGGGCGGGCCGCCACAAGTGCCACTTGGTAGGCGGGTGCCACCAGGGCTGGCCAGGCTTGGGGATCTGTGAGCTGTGTGGCTGCACAAGGCACCATATCAGCAGGGGTGCCGGGCACCCGACACAGCTCACACACAGGGGCCGGCAGGAGAACTTCACGGATAGTTGGGGGCTGAGCCAAATCGGCCAGGGACAGAGCTAAATTGGATGTGGGGACAGAGCTAAATTGGATGTGGGGGCGGAGCTAAAGGCAGCCTCCATTTGCTGCTCTTACTGTTGCACAATGAGGGGAAGCAAGAAGGAGTTCCTGCTTCCCCAACAACTAGAAATCAGCCCATACTGTCAGTAAGTGAAAGAGTGTACTGTGTATGTAACTGTATGTGTAACTGTCTGTGACTGTGTGTGTGAGACTGTCTGCCTGTCGCTGTATGTGTGTGACTGTTTCCCTGTGACTATGTGCGACTGCCTGTGACTGTGTGTGTGACTGTTGACCTGTGACTGTGTGTGTGACTGTCTGCCTGTAAGTGTGTGTGTAACTGCTTGTGACTTTGTGGGTGACTGTCTGCATGTGACTGCATTTACGACTGCCTGCCTGTGCCATTGTGTGTGGCTGTCTGCCTTTGACTGTGTGTGTGTGTGTGTGACAGAGAGACTGTCTGCCTGTAGCCATGTGTGTGTGACAGACTGTCTGTAACTGTGTTTGACTGTGTGCGAGTGACTATGTGCCTGTGGCTGTATTTGACAGTATATGTGTATAACTGTGTGCATCTGACTGTCTTCGCCCTGCAGTGAGCCGGCAGCCGGGATATAACGTCATCCCAGCATTGGCGTCATTACAGGGTGTGTGAGGGACCTGTGCAGGAAGAACACAGAGATCCCAGCAACAACCACTGATCACCAGGGACTGATGATCCATCCCAGCCCTCCCAGAGCAAGGTAAGGAGACTGGGTGGACCTCTTAATTATTACAATGTGTGTATGTGATTATTTGTGTCTGTGATTGTGTGTGTGTGTGTCTGTGATTATGTATGTATCTCTGTAGTTAAGTGTGTGTGTTGTGATTATGTGTGTAGGTCTGTGATTGTGTGTCCTTACATTTTGCAATCCCACATAAGGATAACAAATAAGTGAGTTATCTATTAAACAACTGAAAGATTAAAATTAAGAAAAGGGCTTTTTAAATTCTGATCTTGTAGCTGTTTAGTAGATAATTCCCTAAATTGGTGCCCTTATGTAAAATTTCCGGATTTAAAGATACCAAATTAGTGTGCAATTTAGCAGATAGCGCCCTTATTTGGTGTCCTTAAATATGGCAATCCCACATAAGGATAGCAAATAGGGGAGTTATCTGATAAACAAAGATCAAAGTTAAGAAGTGTCAGCCAGCCCAGACCAAGAAATCTCAGTGGCTAATGTGAATTCTTTGCAAATTTGTTGTCTGATGCCAGCATTCACAGCATGCTGGCATCAGACAAAAAATGGCAGCACATTACCCCATCCCCTAGTGAAAAGTTTTAATGCCGCCCCCAGGGCACTGTTTTGTATCTTATGTTTCCCCCCTATGTATTGTTCCTAGAGTCGTCACTGTGTGTCTGCATGTCTGTCAGCATGTGTCTGTGTGTGACTGTATATCTATGTAGCTGCATGTGTGTCAGCGTGTATTTATGTGTGTGTCTGTGTGCATACATCTCAGAATCTCGCCAACACTACACACAAATACACCCCTGCATTTCAATGTCAACACTACATACAAACCCCACCATTATACAGAACCACACCGCTGCATTCAAAAACCAACACTACATACAAACACACCCCTACATTCACTCAAACATACTCAAATATGATCAGCACTAAATACATTACAAAAAAAAAAAAAATGAGTTTTTTTTTTTACATTTTACAGTTGGGTGGAGGGGGAGGGGAGAAGGTGCAAAAAATAGGGCCCGTCCCGGGTGCCAAATGCTCTAGGTAAGCCCTTGCTGCAGGCTTTTCATTGTAAACGCTGCCTCTTCAGAGAAAATGGAGTGTTTATATTGTTCCCTAGTAACACCTCTTTCTGCGGTCATTCAGAGAGCCACTAGAGGCCCAATCTTTGCAGGACTGAGATGCTGAATGCTCCCCATAGCTATGTCTTAAATCAATGCATCTCTATGAAGTGTAGAGTTTTGCTGTGCCTGCGCACTAGCCTCTCAGTGGGAAAGTATTGGATTGGATGAGGTCATCAATCTTGAAAGGGAGGGGGGGGGGCAAGTAGTCAAACTATTTTAGACTGCTTCTGGCTTCTTACCTGGTTAAGATGTTCTCTGTCTAAACTAATTACAATATAAAAAAGGTACATACAAATTAAAAAATAAAATACCATAAGAGTAAGGGCGGCTACATACACCGGCGCGACTAAATGAGCAATAAACTCAAAATAAACAGAATGGTATGTGTGCTCCTAATTATGAAACACAAACAATAAACTAAAAATGAATAGAAATCTTTTAATAATGACCAAATTTATATAAAAAAAAAAAAACACTCATAAGCTAATAGCAAGCTGTTTCACATCCTCAATAGTAAATATACCCAGACTAAAGTACTCAAAATTGAGTTAGAAACAATTATAGTAAATGGATACAAAAGATAGCAATAACATATAACAATTATAAACTCTGCATAATATTCATATAAGAAAATTGACAACTGATATAATAAGTAGCAGATATATCAGAGAGAATGCAGCGGGACCTCTGTTTACGAATTTAATGCGTTCTCCGGGAGGTTTCTTATTGCAAAAAATTTGTAAACCAAAACGCGGTTTCCCATAGGAATGCATTAAAAACCAATTAATCCGTTCTGAAGGTCAGAAAAAAAGTCAAAGTGAGCTGGCATGGAAATCAACCCACAATGCAGAACACACAATAAAAGGCATGCAAACGACGAAGCTCAGCTCCCCACCTTTCCACCGCTTGAGAAATGCACCAAAAAGTCACAAAACAACTGCAAACAATTTCCAGAATGGCTCCAAAACTCGATGCAAAAGCCGCTACAACACCTCCACACTTGACGCCATGTGCTACCCACAGGCTCCAGCATGCAGGGGGCGGGGCTATAAACCTCCCAGGTGCAATGCATCCTGGGGAAACTTACTTTGTATTGTGAAAAATTTTTGTAAACCGAGGCATTATTTTCAATGGATTTTCATTTGTAAACCGAAAATGATGTTAACCGAGGCGTTTGTAAACCGAGGCCCCACTGTATATGAATAAATCAGTATTATGGACAATATGGATAAAAAGCATAAAAAAACAAAAAAATTAAATATATAAATAAAAATAAAAAATATAAAAATAAATACAAAGTACCTGACCTCGGTGTAACTAATTACAGCTCACTGGCTTACATTGATCATCTAACATGGGGGTGCCATTGCGCTTCTGGCACCATAACCACTACAGTGCACTGTGGAATTATAAAAAATTAAAAAAAGACTCAGAGCTTGACGTTTGTGTCCTACATGGAAGGCCTGAAGACATCGTGGAAGGGAATGTATTTATGCTTTTATGTTATTGAATACAAAAATATGTATTGTTTTATTTATGTAATTTATTATTATTTTCTCTTCTGTTTAAAGTGTCCCTTACATGTTATCAGTGCATCCTGAAAATCACACGGCATACTCACTTTGCTAGATATGCTGCACATACTGCCCCCTGCTTTAGATTCTGGAGAATAACAGGTAAAGCGACCTGTGGATTCAGCATGTCCAAAGCAACCTAGGAAAAATACAGAAGCTGAATTATAATCATTGACAACCTCGGAGGATTGTGTGGTTTCTGCTAAACATAAACTCATGTGTACTGGTAATACATTGTCGCTCACTCCAATTACTACAAAACACCATCAGGGTTATTCTCTAAAGTGAGAATTGTCTGGAAATCAAAATTAATTTCAAATGTAAGGCCAAAGAAGTCGAACCTGGTTGGAGATATTTTCCAGGTCAGCTTTTTTTTGTATTCAAATTTAAATTCACTTTGAATTGTCACTTTGGTGAACAGTCCTGCTCATATTTAGCTACACTCAAAACAAAATAAAAAAAAGATTCAAAATGAAATCTTGTATTCACTGTGTTGTATTTAGCTCTAAGTAGAGGAGTAAATCCATAAAAATGCAGATCTACGTATAAAATATAGGATTACTCTCCCTAAAATAATGTCCTTTGTTTGTGTTTTATTTATTTATTTTTGCACTATCGACACAAAGCACATGGATTAATTATATATAAATTTTAATGCCCCATCCATCCTTAACACATATATTGCATTTTATTTTATGATTGTACTTGTGAACTGTACTTTGGTCTTGCATTAATATTATGGTTAAGTAATAGTGTCTTTCTCATAAAAGAAAACACGATTTCCCCGGCACTCTGTGAACCATGAATATTTCGATTTCAAATTCAAAAATAAATGAAAATGTTTTCAATTTTTTTTTGATTTTTTTTTGTCTTGGTTTCTCTGGAATTGATAGCCCAGAATAAAACAGTGGAACTTTTTCAGGGGGATGCTCTGATTCAGCAAATGAAAATCCAGTTCAGACAACGCAGGGTCAGGGCACACATTGCAGGTGAAGAGGAGAAATAGAAACGGTTTCATTTCTCCACTGCACGCTCTCTCTATGCTGACTACTGGGTGCCAAGGACAGAGCTTAGAATGATGACAGGTAGCACAGATGGGAGCACCCTGAGGTGTGGATTTCTGTGTTTAATTTTATTTTGTACACCTCACAAAAACACAAATATAAGAAACAAAGTAAACAAATCTTGAGAAGTGACAGTTCCACTTTATGTTAGATACAGATGAATGTGCCAGCAAAATGCCAAATTAATCAAAAATGTATTTAAAGGACCACTATAGTGCCAGGAAAACATACTTGTTTTCCTGGCACTATAGTGCCCTGAGGGTGCCCCCACCCTCAGGGTCCCCCTCCCGCCCGGCTCTGAAAGGGCTTAAAACTTACCTTTTTCCAGCGCTGGGCGGGGAGCTCTCCTCCTCCGATCCTCCTCTTCTCCTCCCCGTCGGCTGTATGCGCACGCGCAGCAAGAGCTGTGCGCGCATTCAGCCGGTCACATAGGAAAGCATTCATAATGCTTTCCTATGGACGCTGGCGTGCTCTCACTGTGAAAATCACAGTGAGAAGCACGCAAGCGCCTCTAGCGGCTGTCAATGGGACAGCCACTAGAGGAAATAGGGGAAGGCTTAACCCATTCATAAACACAGCAGTTTCTCTGAAACTGCTGTGTTTATGAAAAAATGGGTTAACCCTAGCTCGACCTGGCACCCAGACCACTTCATTAAGCTGAAGTGGTCTGGGTGCCTAGAGTGGTCCTTTAATAATGCATAATGACAAACAGGGTTATTTACTAACATGAGGATTGTTGGGAATTCAAAGTGAATTTCAAATTCAAGGCCAAAATAGACAAACTAAAATCAAAACAGACTTGGAGGATTGCTCTAATTTGGCTATTTTGGCCTACGTTTTGAGATTCACTTTGTATCCCAGAAATACTCACTTTTGTGAAAAACTCTGATAGACTTACCGCATCAAATGTCACAGAATTAATATCGGAGAGGGCATTGGTAATGTCCTTGTTGATAAAACTGACATTATCTGGCCATGGTTTCCGGCACCGATTCGTCCAAGCGTTCTTCCACCTCTGGAAATTGTTCTTTGCAATCGCATGGTGGTCTGCTCGGACATCAAAACTGTACACACGTCCCTCTGAACCCACTGCGAGACAAAATTAACATGGCTAACTCTCGTACAATCAAATAGAATCCTAACAAAGCGTGTTCGCAGGGCGAGAGAATGCAAAGTAAAACAATTACTGGAGCTTGGTTTTCTAAGTATAACACAACGCCATGTTAGGGGCACTCCCCAATATCATTAACATCTAACACATCAAACCAAAACCCTTTACCTGCATCCAATACCTTGAATGGCCAAAGAACTAGAGAAAAACACACGGGAATTGCTGGCCATTAACACAATTAAGGCCTCAATTTAATATTTTTTGATTAGCTGTTTAAATGATCACAATCTGACCTCGATTTCATTTGTTTGAAACAGCATCAAAAATGACTCCAGTCTCTTGGAAAAAAACGTCATCAAATGATTTATCTAAAGAAATCATCAGAATTATTGTAGATATATCAGTTGAAACATGTTTCTAAAAGACTAAGATCATTTGAAAAGCTCATCCACAAGAATTAAATTGACACCTAAATCAATGTTGAATATGTCCAATGAATTTTACTATCAGAAAATTAAACAAGTTCATGCCCTCTTTAGAACATATAGTTTTGTAATTGTTTCTTGTGTTACCTTGCCCTCGTGTGTATCACATGCTGTAACTAACTTAATAATACAGTGGTATAGTGAGCCGCTGGGGGGAAAAGTGAACCTGTCCCTCGCGGGCACTCCATCGTCTTCCTGACAGTCCTCTTTGGCTCCTGGTAATTCAGCTGCTGGGAGCAGGTGTCAGCGCTGTACTGTCATTCATGCGAGTATAGCAGTAAGGGCTAGGGAGGATCCCGCAGGTGACAGCTTGGTCAGGCTGGGGGCAGGCGTAGGAGAAATACTAAGAAAAAGCTGTCCCTACTTTGTCTCTATATATCTCTTGACTGTGTTGGAATTTCAGTGAAAGATTCTATATTGATGAAATACTCATTTTATTTTGGAGGGGTGTCTGTGCCGCTTTAAGATGAAAGAGAAGCACAAAAGTGGGCGTTACTGCGTCTTTTAAACTTCTGAAAATGAGGGGTGCTGTGAGAGAGAAGGTAGAGTGCAGTCTCACCAATGTTATTCACTAAACTCAGCAGAGTATTTTATTTATCTGGCGGAAAAAAGATATAGGAAAAAATGATGTAATTCCCCCACATTTTAGAATTTGGGTAAAGGTACCCAAAAAATGAAGGTATCGAGAACAGATGGAACAACACTGGTTTGGAATCCTTCACTAAACATGGAATACGAAAATCATAGCTAAGCTGTAATTAAAGCAGGGGGGATTTTTCGTTATTTTTGCCTTTGGTTTTTATTTATTTTTAATTTTCTACAGTTAGGTGTTTGGTGAATAAACTCCCTTGTACTGGGTGGAAATGTTACCTGCTTGTTGTGGGCTAATTATAATATAACACCTATGACTTGTGCTGCAATTTACTCTTTGGGAAGGAGGGAGAGGTGGGGGGTGCGTTAACCGTTCTCCTCAATTTTCTTGTTTCCATAAAAAAGTAAGACTGTCCGGAAGGGGGCATGTGATGTTTTTGACTAATCTTTTTGGTGATGGGTAAACTGTAAATGTAATTTGATTATGAATATTACAGCCTAAATAGAGAATGACAGAATAATTAAGGCATTTACCTGCACGCGATAAGAATAGACTCATTCCTCCAGAACCTGAACCGGCTTCCAGTACGGTATCTCCAGGGTTAATATCCATCATCATGAGCATGGCTGCAATATCCTAAAAGGACACAATATTCGCAGAACAAAGACTCCATCAGGAGTATGATAATCATAGACATTAACCTGTTACTTCAGCAAGATAAAGTGCTTTAGGTTTGTGGAGTGTTCCTTTAACACACAGACAGCTGTCGGCACTGCAGACGTTATGGACATTAGCCAGTGACGCTGGCGGAGTTAACACTTTTGGCAGCAAAGGAGTTAAACTTTGTATGTGCAGTGTTTTTATAGTGACATTCTGCACATAGAGACTCCAGGCACCATGACCACTTCAAATCACTTAAAGGACCACTATAGGCACCCAGACCACTTCAGCTTAATGAAGTGATCTGGGTGCCAGGCCCAGCTAGGGTTAACCCCTTTTTTTTTTTTTTAAATAAACATAGCATTTTTAGAGAAACTGCTATGTTTACACTGAGGGTTAATCCAGCCTCTAGTGGCTGTCTCATTGATTTTCAGATACATCACATTGGACACTTTAGTTACATGTTGACATTGCAGGCTTCCTCTTTGCTAAACACATTTCTTATCTGCAGCATTTGAATGCTACATACTACAGGGCAGCCCTTTTTATACACTGCCCATCAATATGTAAGTGTTGAGTCTAGAAAAACATGGGAGACTTGTCAACTCTAGTTTAACAGATGCTGACCTTTGGGTAGGAGATGGTGGGTCCCCTCTTCATCATTGTGACATATTCATCTAAAGTAGGTCTTTTCAGAAGGAATTCAAAACCTGTTGAAGTCCTGAATTTCTGTCCTGGCAGCTTGCCCTCTATATCACCATGGCTTATGGCTCCCCAGTTGCTTGTCAGTTTTCCATTGGGTTTTAGGAGGAACATTTTCTTAAATTCAGTGTAGTGTCTTTTCTTGAACTCAGATACAATAAGGTCCCCTGATTTAAAGGGAGCACCTTGGGGATCTAACCACTCAGGCTCATTGTCCAGTGATGGCTGAAGATCACAGTCCTGTCCAGGGGTGTCAGGGGGTTCCCCTGGATTAAGGGTGGCACTGTGCCCAATCTGCATGTCCTCCTGGTTCACACCTGCACTCCTCAGAGCCTGGACTTCTGGAGAGATGAACTCAGGGGAGACCATGTGGCTGACCCTGTCTAAAGGGGACAGAGATCGCCTCCAAATCCTGGCTGGGAGCACAGGAAATCTGGGGGTCTCATTGTCAGCCCTCTGTGTGCTGATCTTCATATTATCTGTCCCATGAGGGGGTGCATGGTCCCCAGGGGGATCTGGGGTACTAACAAAGCTCTGCCCTTGGAACAGATGTCCCCATCCCACCCCAAATGATGGCCCCCGACCCCCTGGTAGGTGCAATCTGTAAGCACTTCTTACACACCACATCCTGCTCTCAGGGGCCACAGCCAGGCGTGGGGCTGCATGGAAAGGGCATGCCTTGCAGGGAAGGGTTAATCCTGCTCCCAGAGTGAAACGTCATCACACAGCGACAAGCAGGAAGCGCTCGGCACACGTGGGTCCCACATGCTGTGAGACAGGAGATTACTCCAGTACAAACATTATCATTATTATAGCGCCAACATATTCCACAGCGCTGAATAATAAATAGCAAACTAGACATAAGATAAGTTATGAAAAGGAGGCAATGCTGGGGTTATTTAGCACATTAATAGGGTTAGACTTGGCATCAGCGTCTGTATGTGATAAATGAATAGCTAGTGTCATGACTGCTTTCCTATTGTTTGCTTCTATCTGGGAACCGAAGGTGGCAAAAAGACCTTAGCTTTTATTGTGAGAGGTACAGCAAGTCCTCAAAGTGTCCATGTATTGGAGGGACAGTCTGAGTGTATAACAGAGCTCCACAGCAATAATACTCCCAGTAATGTGTCTGAGTGTATAACAGGGCTCCACAGCAATAATACTCCCAGTAATGTGTCTGAGTGTATAACAGAGCTCCACAGCAATAATACTCCCAGTAATGTGTCTGAGTGTATAACAGAGCTCCAAATAATACAGTAATGTGTCTCCACACAGCAATAATACTCCCAGTAATGTGTCTGAGTGTATTACAGAGCTCCACAGCAATAATACTCCCAGTAATGTGTCTGAGTGTATAACAGAGCTCCACAGCAATAATACTCCCAGTAATGTGTCTGAGTGTATAACAGAGCTCCGCAGCAATAATACTCCCAGTAATGTGTCTGAGTGTATAACAGAGCTCCACAGCAATAATACTCCCAGTAATGTGTCTGAGTGTATAACAGAGCTCCACAGCAATAATACTCCCAGTAATGTGTCTGAGTGTATAACAGTGTAATGTGTTAACAGAGCTCCACAGTAATAATACTCCCAGTAATGTGTCTGAGTGTATAACAGAGCTCCATAGCAATAATACTCCCAGTAATGTGTCTGAGTGTATAACAGAGCTCCACAGCAATAATACTCCCAGTAATGTGTCTGAGTGTATAACAGAGCTCCACAGCAATAATACTCCCAGTAATGTGTCTGAGTGTATAACAGAGCTCCACAGCAATAATACTCCCAGTAATGTGTCTGAGTGTATAACAGAGCTCCACAGCAATAATACTCCCAGTAATGTGTCTGAGTGTATAATAGAGCTCCACGGTAATAATACTCCCAGTAATGTGTCTGAGTGTATAACAGAGCTCCACAGTAATAATACTCCCAGTAATGTGTCTGAGTGTATAACAGAGCTCCACAGCAATAATACTCCCAGTAATGTGTCTGAGTGTATAACAGAGCTCCACAGCAATAATACTCCCAGTAATGTGTCCGAGTGTATAACAGAGCACCACTGCAATAATACTCCCAGTAATGTGTCCGAGTGTATAACAGAGCTCCGCCGCAATAAAACTCCCAGCAATGTGTCTTTAACCTCTTTAGGACCGGGCTGTTTTGGCCATGTTGTACGTTAAGGACCAGGGCTGTTTTAACACTTTTGTGGTGGTTGTGTTTAGCTGTAATTTTCCTCTCTCTCATTTACTGTTCCCATACAAGTTATATATTGTTTTTCTCAGAACAAGAGGGGCATTCTTTACATACCATTATTTGTATCATGTCATGTAATTTACTTTAAAAAGAAAAATAAAATATGGTGAAAAATTAAAAAAAAAGTTACTTGAATTTTACTTGAAAAATCTTTTACTTATCTACTAATGAAAAATACTGCTAAATAGATTCAAAATTTTGACCTGAATTTAAAAACACCCAGTGTTTATGTACTTTTTTGAAAGTTATAGGGCTATAAGTACAAGTAGATCATTGCTGTTTCAATATATATATTTATTTATTTATTTTAAATGCATCAATAGTGACATTGTAACACTATTATCTGTCATAAATCTCTGAATCACACCTCACATGTACATATTTTTTTAAAGTAGACAACCCAGGGTATTCAATATGGGGTATGTCCAGTCTTTTTTAGTAGCCACTTAGTCACAAACTCTGGCCAAAGTTAGCATTTATATTTGTTTTTGTGTTAAAAATGCAAAAAAACAATTATGAACGCTAACTTTGGCCAGTGTTTGTGACTAAGTGGCTACTAAAAAAGACTGGACATACCCCATTTGCAATACCTTGGGTTGTCTTATTTTGCAAATGGTATGCCATCATGGGGGTAATTCTCATTCCTGGGCGACCATACGTTCTCAAAGGCAACATAACTAACCTGGCAAATTTTAATATGAAAAAATTTGACCCTGTAACTTTCAAAAACACTATAAAACCTATACATGAAGGGTACTGTTATACTCTGGAGACTTCGCTGAACACAAATATTAGTTACATAGTTACATAGCTGAAAAGAGACTTGCGTCCATCAAGTTCAGCCTTCCTCACATTTGTTTTTTGCTGTTGATCCAAAAGAAGGCAAAAAAACCCAGTTTGAAGCACAATTTTGCAACAAGCTAGGAAAAAAATTCCTTCTTGACCCCAGAATGGCAGTCAGATTTATCCTTGGATCAAGCAGTTATTACCCTACATTGAAAGATTATATCCTTGAATATTCTGTTCTTGCAAGTATGCATCTAGTAGCCGTTTGAACATCTGTATGGACTCTGATAAAACCACATATTAGTATTTCAAAACAGTAAAACGTATCACAACAATTATATCATCAGTGAAAGTACTGTTTGTGTGTGAAAAATGCAAAAAAACTTCACTTTCACTGACTATCATCACTGTGATATGTTTTACTGTTTTTGAAACACTAATATTTGTGTTCAGTGAAGTCTCCCGAATAAAACAGTACCCCCATGTAAAGGTTTTAGGGTGTCAGAAAGTTACAGGGTTAAATAAAGTGCTAGCAAATTAAATTCTCTGGACTTTCGGCCTGGGTTGTCAGGCATGTCCCTCAAATTGCAATCAATAAAATTACTTAACTATGTACAAATATTACATAAATATGCAGGTAGAATTTAAATATATATGCATATTTCTACATTTGAAGTCTATGTGTATATACAATTATTTATGTAATTTTGTAAATGGATATATATTTCATATTATTTTTATGTATTTATAAAAACATAGATACATATATAATTTCATTCTAAGTGTATTTTGATATAAATATATATGTTATTAAAATACAGTTAGAATAAAATTAAATATATATATTTTTTTTACATTTTTTAATTTATTTTTATTTACTTATTTTTATTTTATAATAATATATATACAATGTATATAGTTATTAAATATATATATATATGTGTGTAAATTAATGTGTATTTTTATATTAATATATTAATATAAAAATACACTTAGTATGACATTATATATATGATATATAGATATAATATATCTGTATAGACATATATAGATATAATATATCTGTTAGAGAGATCACATGGCCGAGGAGTCTTAATTCGCCGAGGGGAGACTGCCTGGGCTGTCAGGCAGTCCCTCCACACCGGGAGCAACGCCGATCGACTCCGGGGGAACGGCGGCTATCAGGTAAGTAAATGTTAATGTTATGACGGTTCAGGACCGTCACCGATCCTCAAGGGTATTTTTCCGATGACGGTCCTGAATTATCAGCGGTCGTGAAGTGGATGACCTGGGACACTCATTCAGTGTTTAACCTTTTTAAAATGTTTTATCATGGAATGGAAGGCCATCTCTAAGGGACTCCAGGCACTATAACCGATTCAAGAAGATGAAATTGTTATAGTGACCTTTTGAAATGTTGAATGTATTATACAGTAAGCGATACATGAGTTATCCAGACATTGTAAGATCCATGTATTCTACTTATAATCTAATCCGGCTATTCACTAATGTAAGAATTTTCACGAATTTCAATGCTAAGCCGCACAGGAAACATTGAAGCCGCCCACAGTGGGTTACATAGTGGTGCGCGAGGGAGCAGTAATCTTCTTGCAGTTCCTTGCACCTCGTTTAGTGACAGGACGTTACTCCAGCCCTGGCATCACTAGAGAGAGCGTGCAGGGGAGCAGAGAGAAACTGCAGGAAGATTAGAGAGGAAACATAGAATGTGACGGCAGATAAGAACCATTCGGCTCATGTAGTCTGCCCAATTTTCTAAATACTTTCATTAGTCCCTGGCCTTATCTTATAGTTAGGATAGCCTTATGCCTATCCCACGCATGCTTAAACTCCTTTACTGTGTTAATAAGGACTTTCTCTGAAACTGCTATGTTTATTAAACAATGGGTTAACCTTAGCTGGACCTGGCACTCAGACCACTTCATTAAGCTGAAATGGTCTGGGTGCCTAGAGTGGTCCTTTAATAGACCAGCTAAGTTGGTGATCCTCCTGCTCTGGCCGTGTTTCCATGTTATTGTGTTACACACACTCTCACTCAGGGAAGTTGGAGTCTGGTTCCATATTATTATCATCCATGGTCAGATCACCCCCCTCCCCCTCTCCCCCCCCACGTGCTGCCCCTGGCCGCCGCCATGACAGTGACGTCAGGGCGGAGTGGGCGTGTCGGCGCGGGCTCGCACTGCGCATGCTCGCTCCAGGAACACGTGGCTGCGATCTGAGCGGAGACATGGCGGCGGCAGCGGGCGGCCTGCACGAGCTGCTCCCCCCTCCCTGCGCCTTCTCCCCGCCCGGCCGGGGGCTGCTGGCTCTCTCCGGGCAGGACGGCACCATCCGGGTGTGGGACACGCAGGGCGGCGGGCTCAGGCGGGAGTACGTCCCCACAGCCCACCTCAGCGCCACATGTACCTGCCTGGCCTGGGCCCCGACCGACACGGTGAGACCCCAATATAATATATAATGTATAATAATAATATAATATGGGGGGTATGTACCCACAGCCCATCTCAGCGCCACCTGTACCTGCCTGGCCTGGGCCCCGACCGACACGGTGAGACCCCAATATAATAATATAATGTATAATAATAATATAATGTATAATAATAATATAATGTATAATAATAATATAATGTATAATATGGGGGGTATGTACCCACAGCCCACCTCAGCGCCACATGTACCTGCCTGGCCTGGGCCCCGACCGACACGGTGAGACCCCAATATAATAATATAATGTATAATATAATAATATAATATGGGGGGTATGTACCCACAGCCCACCTCAGCGCTACCTGTACCTGCCTGGCCTGGGCCCCGACCGACACGGTGAGAGAGATAATATAATAATATAATGTATAATAATCTATAATAATAATATAATATGGGGGAGTACTGTCTGACAGCCCACCTCAGCGCCACATGTACCTGCCTGGCCTGGGCCCCGACCGACACGGTGAGACCCCAAATATAATAATATAATGTATAATAATACTATAATATAATATGGGGGGTATGTACCCACAGCCCATCTCAGCGCTACCTGTACCTGCCTGGCCTGGGCCCCGACTGACACGGTGAGACCCCAAATATAATATATATAATAATAATATGGGGGGGGCCCGGGACGGACTGACACAGTGAGACCCCCCCCCCCGGGGGCTGATAATATAATATGGGGGGCCCAGGGGAGGGCTCGTGGTTCCTGGCCTGATGGAGAGAGGAGGGGGGTGTTATTGCATAATACGGGGGTGCTCTGGGGGGAGTTGGATTATGTAATATGGGGGGCTGCATGCTGGGACCAGAGGGCTATAGCGCCAGCACTGGCCGCAGCGCAGTGAATCCAAGATTAGGGGGGGTCTGGGAGAATATAAAGCGTTATCCTTACTACCCTCAGGGGCCCCCTTACCCTGAGCCCAAGCAGGGGCCTGTACCATGTGCTTCTTCACACGGGAGGTTCCAGATCAGGCCCTGATCATATACCATGTGCTGCTCTCCCGTGTGCATTACACAACATGGCCTCTGCACATACTGTGTATACTATACCATGTTCCCTGACCAAATACTATGTACTGCTAGTCCAGGGTATTCCACATCTGGGCCTCTGCACATACTGTGTATACTATACCATGCCCCCTGACCATATACTATGTACTGCTAGTCCAGGGCCTCTGCACATGCTGTGTATACTATACCATGTCTCCTTCCCATATATTATGTACTGCTAGCCCAGGGCCTCTGCACATACTGTGTATACTATACCATGCCCCCTGACCATATACTATGTACTGCTAGTCCAGGGCCTCTGCACATACTGTGTATACTATACCATGTCTTCTTCCCATATACTATGTACTGCTAGCCCAGGGCCTCTGCACATGTTGTGTATACTATACCATGCCCCCTGACCATATACTATGTACTGCTAGTCCAGGGCCTCTGCACATGCTGTGTATACTATACCATGTCTCCTTCCCATATATTATGTACTGCTAGCCCAGGGCCTCTGCACATACTGTGTCTACTATACCATGCCCCCTGACCATATACTATGTACTGCTAGTCCAGGGCCTCTGCACATACTGTGTATACTATACCATGTCTTCTTCCCATATACTATGTACTGCTAGCCCAGGGCCTCTGCACATACTGTGTATACTATACCATGTCCCCTGACCATATACTATGTACTGCTAGCCCAGGGCCTCTGCACATGCTGTGTATACTATACCATGTCCCATGACCATATACTATGTACTGCTAGCCCAGGGTATTCCACACCAGGTCCTCTGCACATGCTGTGTATACTATACCATGTCCCCTGCCCATATACTATCTACTGCTAGCCCAGGGTATTCCACACCAGGGCCTCTGCACATGCTGTGTATACTATACCATGTCCCCTGCCCATATACTATCTACTGCTAGCCCAGGGTATTCCACACCAGGGCCTCTGCACATGCTGTGTATACTATACCATGTGCTGCAGGTCCAGGGTATTTTAGATCAGACCTCTCTCTGACCATATACTATGCTGCTGTCCCAGTACGGTATCTAATCATTATATACCATGTGTAACTGGAACATGTGGCTCTGACTGCTATCCCATCCCATTGGTTTCTATGCTGGGTCTGGATATTTTGTAACCCCATCAGTTAATTTAACAAGATACTATTTATCCTGTTACATGATACTGAATTGAAAAGTAAGTCACTGGAAGGGTGATAAAGTCCAGGAAACTAAGTTTTATTGTTAGCAAGGATTGCCACTATAGCACTCATGGTATTAAAAATCGATTTTTGTTTTATTGTGCTTTTATCCTGTTCTGGCAAACTTACCCTTAATTCACATATTTGTGTTAAAACACTAGATCAGAGAGAGCCATTAATATTTGGTTATTCTGCAACTATACCATATCCTGATGGCAAAGCATCATGGGGATTCTAAAAGGCTTACTTTCCCTCCGTGTTCGTCTGTAGCGTCTCTCTGTCGAATAACATTTTATTGTAGCATTTTACGTAATGCGTGCAGTGCTGCAGAACATGTTGGTGATATGGAAGGATTTGTCTTTCCCTTCACATAGGCAGCAGAAACAGTCTGTTAATCAGCAGATTTTGTTGATTTTATGGAGTTTCAAAATGTGAGCTCTCTCTCCCTCTCACTTCAAGTCACCACTTTTAGTTACTAACCTTTTCATATTGATATTTATAAATTCACCTACCTTTGTTCTTATGTTGCCAAACAAGTGAATTCTTATCACCTTGCACCAATCTTACCCACGTCTTCACTGTGTGTTAGCCCGCTATAAGGATGTCATTTAATGTGAGATCTGCGGACATGGCTGCACACATCCTATGAATATTGTTTGCCAAATTCTCCTGTAAGAACAAAGGTTCAGAGCAGTGAGCCACGTGCTCGCGTTTATTTAGGAAATGTGATGGGCAATATATTTCTTATATTTTTAATGACAATCTCAGTGGGGGTGGTGTCTGCTGTGGCAGGACGAGCACAGCGAGGGTTTAAAAGTAAGTTTTAAAAAATAAACATTTGAGAGGAGAGGGTTCAATCTAAATCTCCGCTAGTTTATTCTAAAGGTAAATACGGTTTTCAATTTCTTACGCTAGATTGCTCCTTTAACGGCGTTTCACTCAAGTTATTGAAAGGACGCTGTATGCACTGTATCTGTGTCCTCTCATTAAAGTGGTTATAGTGTCTGGAGTCCCCTGGTGCCGTTCTATCATTCAGCATTAGTTATTAATGTTTTAATGCTAAACAAGTCCCCCTTGGGCGAACGAGGACGTTTTAGCCTGAGCAGCAGTGGGTGGCTGTGATTGGCTGAGACTAGTGTCAGCTGGCTGCTTTCAGCCTATCACAGCACCCAAAAATCTCAAGCACTTTAATCTTTATTAGACAGATAACCACACATATAAAGTGAAACAAAAATGAATAGTTTACAATGTTATAAATTGAATATAAAAGTGTAGCTATCAGAGTAAATATGCAATAAACTATGGGAATACAATAAGAGAAAAGGTTAAGGCAGGGAACAGGTCAGTATGTTTACAGGATGACCATGCATATCAAAAGCAGACTTGGTACAGTTGTATAAAATGATTACGTTCTGTGTGTTTTTGTTTTTAATAATTTTTTAATTTTTTTTATTAGGAAAGCCATCAGAAGAAGAAAAGGAAAGGGGAAGCTGTGGAACAAGATGCACAATATGATATTCTCGCCATTGGCACAGCGACCGGGACGATTTTATTATACAATATAATTAAAGGAGAACTACAGAGCAAACTGGTGAGTAATCCTATGCTATTTGTCACAAGTCTGGAGATTCTCGTATTGATATTGTTTTATGGACACTTTGAAGTATGTATAAAGTATGTGTCTGCCTGGTTCACTTCGAAGCCGCTTCCTTTCCCTGATATCGCTAACCTGGGAATACATACCATTCCATTGATCGCGTGTGAACAAGAACCTTATGGAAGTTACGTTTTGCACCCTGAGACGCTGAAACTGCTTTATTGGCTCTTTGCCAAACTTTGGATTGTTGAAGATTTTCCAAATGATTTTTTTTTTTTTTGCTTAAATGGACCTTGAAGAGTAACTGCACCTAAATCTATGAACACTTCATTTATCATTAAGAACTGTTAAGGTGATACCAACTCTCCAGGATGCCAGTGCCTCCATGAGCGGAGATCTGTGGGTTCTTCGCTAATCTAATGGCGTTGTCCTGCGTGAGCAGCATTGTCAAGAATTAATTCCCAAAGCAAGACATGCCTCCGCTTTTCCTTAGAAAACGGGAGGCATGCCTGCCTGAGGAATCACAGCAGCTACAGCGCACTCTGTGTAGTTACATTGATGGAGAACAGTAACGCCACCTGTTGTGATTCTCCTGCTCTCACTATAGACAACTTGCATTTTTGTTGGGTGCACTATGACACTTTAATTTCGATTTCCCATTTTTTTCAGCTCAAACTATATTATTGTTTCTCCTTTTTGTCCAGGTTGGGGGTCATGAAAGCAGAGTAAACTGTATCAGGTGGAATCGGGGAAACGGTAGCTTGTATAGTTGTTCAGAAGACAAACACATTGTGGAATGGAACACACAGACCTGCAAAGTAAAATGGTAAGTTACACCGTTGGAACTTTTCCTACTATGGGTTTTGTTTATATTCTCTTTACAAAAGCCACCGAGGATCATACATTTTAAAAATGCATTATTATTTTTTTGGTTTGACCTTAAGATGTTTCCTATGTCCTACCATCAAAACATGTTTATTAATGCTAGCATGGTGAAAATCAGTGTTAAAATACCAAATAAAGGCATTTCCGAACAAACATGTACTTTTAAAACCTTGTTATTGCTAAGATTCTCATTAACCCCTTCAGGACGGGTGACGGACGAGGTCCGTCACACAGGGGAGACCCTTAACGACGGGTGACGGACCTCGTCCGTCACGCGGTAAAATTAACCCCGGATCACCGCGATCGCGGGGTTAATGATGCTCCCGGTATGCCTCTGCATTTGGAGGCATACCGGGAGCACCCGGTCAAGCTGCCCAGCACATGTGCTCGCTCTGACCACAAGTCTGAGCGAGCACATGTGCTCTCTATACTCACCTACCGGCTCCCTGCACTTCCGGGTTCTGTGTGAAGTGCAGGGAGCCGGATCAGTGCTGATCCTGCCCCCTGCTGTAAAAAAAAATAAAGTTTATTTAAAGTCCCACCCATTTTAATAAAAAATTAACCCCTTCCCTGCCAATTGATCACTGACTACAGTGATCAATTGGCAGGGATTACATTTTACTATGATCTGATTTTTTTTTTTAACCCCTGAGGGTTAATTCTTTTTTTTTTTTAACCCTCAGGGGTTAAATTAATTAAATTAATTAATTAAATTATTTTTTAATTATATATTTAGATAGCTGGGGTGGGTGGAAGTTAGTGGGGAATTGGGGGATTTGGCGTTAGGCTAACTAGGGGTTAACGTTAAAAAAAGTTTTAAAAGAAACTTTAAAAAGTTAAAAATTAAGTTTAAAAAAATGTTTTAATAACATTTAAGTAAAAAAAACAAAAAAAACACACTTTACCTAGTCCAAATAAAAATTAACCCCTTCCCTGCCAGTTGATCACTGCCTACAGCGATCAAATAGAGATCACAGTATTATACTGTGATCTAATTTTTTTTAACCCCTGAGGATTAACTTTTATTTATTTTTTTAACCCTCAGGGGTTCAATTTATTTAATTAATTAATTTAAATATTTTATAACTATATATTTTGCTAGCTGGGGTGGGTGGGAGTTATGGGAAAATGGGGAATTTACTGTTACTGCTGCGTACTGCTAGTTAGGGGTTAACGGTAAAAAAAAAAGCTTAGAAAAATGTTAAATCTGTAAAAAAGTTTTAAGAAAGTTTAGGAAAGTTTAAAAAAAATTTATAAGCAAAACAAAAGTTTAAAAACTAGTTTTTAAAAGTAAAAAAGTTATAAAAAGTAAAAAAATACATTTTAAAAACGCTCATTACCACTACACCTGGAACAAACTAGAGAAAAAATTATCCCACGCCAAGGTTCAAAATATGCCTTTTGAATTACCCCAGGGTGTATTCTTTAATAAATAGTATGTGTTTGTGGGGAAGTTTCAATAACCAACCGTCTAAACTACTCCAAATTGGAACATGGACACAGCGTAAAACTTCAAAGTTAGAAAAAAACTGAATGGCTGCGTCTCAAATGCGCCCCTTCAACATCCACATATACCTGGCAAAGGTACATACGGGGGTATTGCTGTACTCAGCCGACATAGCTGAGCAACATATGAAGTATTATACAGTCATAGCACACATAAGGTTTGCAAAATATGCTGCGCAAACTCACTTTGTATGTCAAAAAGGCAGAAAAAATGCTTATTACCACTACACTTGGTACAAGCTAGCGGAAAAATGATCCCACGCTGAGGTTCAAAATATGCCTTTTTGAAATACCCTGGGATGTCTTCTTTAAGAAATGGTATGGCTTTATGGGGAATTTGGATTATATAGCCTGGTAAAATACTCTAAAATGGGACATAGGCACAGCATAAAAATTCAAAGTTTGAAAAAAACTGGAATGGCTGTGTCCCAAATGTGCCCCTCCGATGTCCACACATACCTGGCAAAGGTACATACGGGGGTATTGCTGTACTCAGCCGACATAGCTGAGCAACATATGAAGTATTATACAGTCGTAGCACACATAAGGTTTGCAAAATATACTGTGCAAACTCACTTTGTATGTCAAAAAGGCAGAAAAAACGCTTATTACCACTACATCTGGTACAAGCTAGCGGAAAAATGATCCCACGCTAAGGTTCAAACTATACCTTTTGAAACACCCTGGGGTGTCTACTTTAAGAAATGGTAGGCCTTTGTGGGGTAGTTTGAATTTAAAACCTGCGAAGATGCTTGGAAATTGCACATAGGCCCAGCGTCAAAATTCAAAGTTTGGTAAAAACGGATATGGCTTGGTCTCCTATATGGCACTGTAGCTTCACAAAATAGTGCCAAAGACATTCATATGGGGTGTCATTTTACTCAGAAGACTTAGCTGAGCATAATTTGGGGGGTTTGAACTTAGTGGCACATATGAAATATACAAAACGCCCAGCAAAAATGCAATCCGTATGTAAAAAATGCACAAAATTATTTTTTACCACATACTTTGGCATATATTGGTGAAAAAATGGGGGCATGTTAAGGCACAATATGCACCTTATAAGATACCCTGGAGTGTCTACTTTTACAAATGGTAGGCCTTTGTGGGGGTTTTTTGAACAGTCAAACTGTTATAATACCCCAAAATGGAAGCTAAGGCTCATTAAATCCATCTCTCAAAATTCTACTGTGAATACTGAAAAGGACAGGTATCCTGTATGGCACTGTAACTTCACGAAATAGTGCAAAAGACATACAATGGGGGTGTCATTTTACTCAGCAGATGTAACTGAACACAAAATAAAACTTTGTACAGGAATAGCACACACCAACTTTACAAAATATACACGAGAATTTCTCTGTTATAAGTTTGTGTGCCAAAAACCAAAAAGAACACAATTTTACTCCAATATTTAGCAGAGGTTGGCGGTGAAATGGCTACGTAGAAAGTGTCAAAACAACCTTAGGTAAATAGCCCGTGATGTCTACTTTATATAAATATATACTTTTGTGTGGCAATTTTGTTTTCTTTTATGGCTATTAAGCTTACAAGACAAACATACCAAATTCTAAAATCGCTCCACATTAAAAGTTTATTTTACTCCTTGTGCTTTGTGACCTGTAACTACCAAAAAAAACTTAAAATCCCAGACACATTATATATTCTGTAAATCAGAACAAATAAATAAATTTATTTTTAATTACTTTCCTTAACCTGCACTAATTATGCACACATTATTATTGCAAAAACTGTAAAAAAAACCAATGTTTTTCATTTTTTTTGCATTTTTCTGTATTTTTTTTATAATAAGTAAGCATTTATATATATATATATATATATATGTTATATCAAATTAAAGCCCTTTCTGTCCTTTAAAAAACAGTATATAATATGTGTCGGTGCAATAAATGAGAGAGATGCAAATTGCAGTTGAACGCAAACAGCAAGAAAATGCAAAAATTGCTTGTCATTAAGCGTAAGTCAAGCTTCTGAAGCTGTGTCCTTAAGGGGTTAAAGCCACACTGTTACTTGTGGGGTCACTGCGTTTTTATTTATTTTGCAAAAACTCTTAACCCTGTTCGTTTTCACAAAGTGGTGTTTTTAGAATTTGTATATCCTGGCTTGTTATGATGATGCAGAGTGTGGTTTCATTTCTTACTGATAAGCAATGAAGTTAATTTTCTCTTGGCTGTCTGAACAAGCTCCAGAATGTGTCAGGAAGGTTCAGCTTTGCTTTTAGACGTTAGAGTTCCTGGTGTTTTTGACCGAAGAATGGGATAATGGGACCTTTCATAACTTTGTACTTTCAGCAAATGGAAAGGGGACAGTGGGAGCGTCAGCAGTTTGTGTATCAGTCCAGATGGGAAGATGCTGCTCTCAGCTGGAAGAACCATCAAACTCTGGAACCTGGACACCAAAGAAGTCTACAGGGTATAAAAATTACTTCAAGTACATCCCAAAATGTGTCACTTGGACAACAAAGTAGAATTACCTTGGAATGGCCTTGGTGTTCGTATTGTTTCCATGTTTAATGGTAGACCGTAGAGGGGCTTGTCAAACTCATGTGCATCCTGTAGATCATTCTTCTTTATTCAGAGTTTTAAATGTTATAATTGTATGTGTTCAGTATTATTATTATTTATATAGCGCCATCAGATTCCATAGTGTTGTACAATGTATTCAAACTGTTAAGAAAAGCAAATCTATATATCAAAAGTATGGGGTCGTGGCAAGACCGAGCATTTATAGAAAAATTAAGTGGTGTTTTTAGAATTTAGTCTGTATATCCTGGCTTGTTATGATGATGCAGAGTGTGGTTTCATTTCTTACTGATAAGCAATGAAGTTAATTTTCTCTTGGCTGTCTGAACAAGCTCCAGTTGAATAGTTTTCATCACTAGAATGAGTGCCTGGGGGTAGTGGTACCCACACACTATATAACAAAGCCTTGATGTGTTTCCATCAGGCCCATATAGCATTAGTGGAAAATACACAAAATTGGTTCTTAAAGGGACAAGCCAGACCCCTCAAGCACTTTAGCTGTTTATAGCATGTCCCCTATTTCATTTTTAAAAAGTGCAGTTTTCAGTAGAAATAGGCACTTCCATAGATTAACCTTATATCCCCCTTGCTGGTCAGACAGCAGGTCCTGTTACTTCCTGGGTATTTAGCTCAGAGGCAGCTATTGTCCACAGCACCCTCCTTGCAAAGACTTCTCATTGGGAAATCCGTGATATGACAGCCACAGAAAGTCTGACCTGGAGAAGAAGGGGAGGGCTTACAGTGCACATGTTTTTTCTTGGGGTATATCTACTACATACTGATCTTGTATTTGGGAGGTGCACTGTTCCTTTAAACCCTTTCATCTTAATTCAGCATTAAATTCATATCTGACATTATTGGTATTTCTATAGCGCCAACTAATTCTGCAGCCCTTTACAATATTATGAAAGGGGGGAAAATTACAATAAATGAGACAATTACGCAGGAATAATAGGTAAATGAGGGCCCTGCTCAGACCAACTTAGTCTAGATTAGGTGGGGTACAAATACACAACAGGGCAGCAAGTGTGACAGCTTCATTTATCAAACAAGATGGTAAAGTAGCAGAGTTGGAGGTGAGTGAAGTATGGCTCTTTAGGAGAGCAATAGACAGATTTGGATAAGTATAGATAAGTTACTCTGGGAGTCCATAAGCATTTCTGAACAGATGTGTTTTGCGGCACTTGTTAAACAGTTAAAGACTAGGGGAGAGTCTGATGGAGGTAGGCAGGCTGACCCAAAGAAAAGAAGCCGTCCGCGAGAAGTCCTGCAAGCGCGAGTTAGCAGTAAGGGTGTGAGCAGCGGACATGAGAAGGTCACCGGCAGAGCAGAGAGACAGAGAAGGGGCATATCTGTGAATCAGGGAAGAAATGTAAGAGGGACTAATGTTGGTTAGAGCTTTAGAGGTAAGGGTCAGTATTTTGAATTGACCACTATAGGATACAGGAAGCCAGCGTAAGGATCGACAGAGGGGCGAGGTATGGGAGGAGTGACAGGTGAGAGAGATCACCGATTGTAGTGGGGCAGTTCGGCTTTTGGGGAGACCAACTAGGAGAGAATTAGAGTAATCCCTGCGAGAGATTACCAGACCATGAACAAGCTCCTTGGCCTGCTGACCGTTCCTGAACTTGCATTTGTTATTTTAGCATGTTTCGTGACACGGCTAATTTTCCTAATAGTTATGTTTTTGTTGTTTTAGCAATTTACTGGCCATTCGTCTGCAGTCATGTCCTTGATGTTTGTGACCACACCATCGTCCAGTGATTCTCCGTCAAATGACACGACCGGATTATATTTCCTGTCTGGTGCAATGTATGACCGGTTGATCAGCGTATGGTGAGTAGCGGGGGAATACGGCCCAATGGGTAGCAACTTCTGATCACACAGCCTTAATGGGTAATTGCAAATCATTGAAGTATTGCGTTCTAAAGTTTGATAAAGAGAGCTAATTTTCATCTGGGGATCTACCTTGTCTCTAAACGCACACCAGCTGAGTCCCAGGGCACTTCGGTAAGATCTGTGATTGGAAATTCTGTTATATGATTCTACAGTGATGTTAGCATTGCTGTGCCCACCCACCTCACGTTTTGCATTGGTCGCTTGGTAAATCTCCTGGCTCAGAATATGTTATTACCTTTTATTACTGGCTTGTTATGATGATGCAGAGTGTGGTTTCAATTTTCTCTGAAAAGAAATGAAGCTATTTTTCTCTTGGCTGTCTGAACAAGCCTTGGATCAGGACTCAGTAATAAATATAGTATTGTACAGAATATGCAGCGTTTCAATGAACACATTTAAAGTGGCTTTGTCATATCAACCCCATCAGCGATGTAGTCTCGCACATGCTAAGGGCATTAGGCTTCACATTTTGTCAATCTTAAAAAATACACAAGACTTGGTAATCCCTAATTTTCCTTAGTATATCAAATCACAAATGAGTCTCTATGAGCATGTCGAACAGATTTTATCTTATCTTTATGAAATGCTATTATTCGCGAGGGAGGGGGCATTGATGAAGTCTGTTTAATCTCTAAAACATGAACTACATGAAATGCCTTGTGACACCAGTTTTAGACCAGTTTCCTGTATGCCGCAGGTTCTCTGTGAGTCGGTCTAAATAGAAAGCTGTTGGGGTGCAGCAGGGTGTGTGGAGTATAAGCTTGGAGAGAAGGGACTTCCACTTTAAATCTCTCTACAGTCCTGTTAATTATTTGAATTTTTAAGGTGCTATTAAATCTGCATATTTGGAGATTAACTTTAGTCAGACTGGCCTGGTATTTGTGAGCATTCTCAGCATTTAACTCCCAAGTTTTCCATAAATATATAATCTTATCGAAACTATGTTGGAATAAAATTTTACTGCATTTTCAAAGTAACCCGATGAAATAAGATAGAATAGGGTCTGCTGGTCTTCTGTGCCTGCAGATTGTCAATCTACAGAGCTCAGCAGTACAGGCAGTTAGGAAAGTGTATGGCTTCCAGAGAATCCCAGGGAAGCAGGCAGTGATTAACATAACTTGTCAGAAGATACTAATCCAAACAATATCATTATCAAAGTATGCAGCCTGGCCTCCTGTATTGGATTAGGCTGCTATCAGTGCCTTCGCAGGTAGCAACCATCCTTTATCATTTCTTGCGTTATACCATTGTTAGAAGTGAGGCCTTTAATGAAGTAAACGTGTTTGTGGGTTTTTTTTTTTTTTCCAGGCACGTTAAGACTGGGAAAAAGGAGAAAAGTGCAGCAATGTCCTTCACGCTGACAGAAAGTCCTGTGTGTGTGGACCTCACTCCTTCAAGGAGCAAAGAGGAGGTAAATTGGGAGAGCTGATTAATATTCAAAGACCTGCCAAGTGTCTCACTTTGGTATAATGTGCATCCAGTGGTGCAGTGTGAAGCTTGTAACGTGTGATTTCATTGGCCGTAAACAGGCTTTTTGTTCACCTGAAGTCCTGTCTGCTCTTGGCTACATTTTAATTTCCCCAGTACCGCATGAGCTCTGTGTTGTACACTCCCATAGTGCTTTGCTATCTGCCTTCTCAGGGCTATTGTCTTGTATGGTCCCTGCTTGTGGAGAGTGAGCAATACTGAGTTGGTGCATCTACCCATGGTATGTTATCAATTGCCCTACCTCATGCTCCTTGGTGTGTCCTGTGGAATGTTGGCATACTTTCTAAAAGTGTAGCAATTGGCAAAAGCGTTCTGTTTCCATGGTGATTGGAATTCACAGCTGGTCCAAGTCATTTGCTTTTATTTAATAGCTTTTTTTTTTTTCTTGCAGCCACTGAAGTTGGCAGTCGTATGCAGAGATGGCCAGCTCCATTTATTTGAACATGTTTTGAATGGGTACGTTATCACGCTTTGTGGCATTTTACAACTCATTATCTCTTCCACCGCTCTCCCTCCTCCAAACATTTGTAGTGACAGAAATCGTCTGTTAATCAAAATCCGTAGCCAGAAGTTACTGTGCTCGTCCCTCTTATTTGGCTATGTAATCTACCATTTTGGCAAAGAACTTGAAATGTTACTGGTGACACAGATACACACTAAATTTTTTTTTTAATTAGGCAACAATTATGTTGTATTCACATAGCTGCGTTGTACAGTTAGATCAGAACAATGCGTGTCTGTCTTTCACATATTTTAACATTTACCCAGGACTAGCATCTATGAATTACTTTGTACAGTAAGATTTCTGGAGATTAACCGGATGAAACACAAATATTATGTTAATAATCAAATGCTTTCTTCTCCCAGAAACCACAGTAAGCCATTCACACCGACGTGTACGATACAGATTGCGAGTTCTGGAAACGATAAGGATGCAACTCCAAAGCCTGTTCCCATCCATGCTGCTAAGTTCCTGCCAGACAGACAATCCATCCTGCTCTATTACGGGAACACGATACAGCCAGTCATTGAGAAACTGGTAAGAGGTTTGATTCGGTTTTCTTTATCCTCAGCTACGACTTGCATTGTTTGAATCTAACGTTGTTTTTCAGTATTTCGGATCATTCAAAATAAATGATGTGGACTACATCTCCACTAATGGTTTGTTAGCATTATCTCTGCAAGAGCATTATAGGATATGTAGTCAACATCATCAGGAGTGTAAACGTTGTCTATTCCTGGACTTGAGATGCAGGGAGGCCCTCGGATCTGGTTGTACAGAGTATAAAACAAACTGATCTTTCTCGTTTCAGTGCTATGCAATGTGACACCATGTGTCTTTTCCACGTGTAATGTCCTGGGGTTTGTTTTAAAGTGTGCAGTGATGATATCCAGAGAATGGTTTCGCAAATTTCTGAAATTTAGTGACGAGTAAATCTCTTGGCTGTCTGAGTGCACTTTAACTAAATCTACCTTGACTTCATTATTAACTCTAATCGTTTTATGTCTGAGTAACTGCTCTGTAACGGTGGCAAGCAAGAACTTAATTGCGTATTCTGTTTACTTTGTCACTAGCAGATTGTCTTTTTAAGCCTGTGTTTCTATTTTGCTTTTTAAGGTATTGAAGACAGATGAGCCTCACATATGCCTTATCAGGGATATTCAGAAGGCTGTATCTCTTCGAAAAGACTTACCAGTTACAAAAGTAAGTTCCTGACCACCTTTATTTCTAGATTCTGCAGATCAGCATCTTCAGCTCAATCTATATCATTACAGAATTCTAAATATCTGAATAGCGGTCTCTAGCTTTCAAATGTAACCTGTTAAATGAGTTTCAAAATGTAGAATGTCCGTCAGGTTCTCAAGCAATAACTGGCTTGTCTGGAGCTTGTAACGTCCTGGGGTTCGATTTAAGGTGTTCTGTGATGATATCAAGAGAATGGTTTCGCAAATTGCTGAAATTTTGTGATGCGTTAATCTCTTGGCTGTCTGAGCGCACTCTCTGCTAGTATAAGGTCTGCTGTAAAATTCATCTTATCTGAGATCAGGCGAGAGTATCTGCAACACCTTATGTGATCACTTTGTTTCCCTCTCCTGATGTATTCATCAAGAGTAACTTGTTCCTTTGCGTTTTTTAACATGGTGCTTGGAGCCCTGTCTTGCCACTTGATGGCTGACGCCCAAGTTGTTATGGAGATGTTTGACGTGGTTGGTGTTGGAGTGGGCTTGGCTCAGGCTGCTGTCTTTTGTTCGTGGTGTTTTTTCTGGGGTGGGGGGTGGGAGGGAGGGAATACCTGGCAGTTTTTGATTGCTCCAAGTCTATCGATCCACAGACTGATAATATATATCCATTTACATGTGCTGCATGATTGCTTGGTTATGGGAGGCCATATGAGTGTCTAGTTATTTGATATAAAAAAATTTCTTTTGATATCATTGCAGGTGAAAACTCCAGTCGTAAATTCAGACAGCAAAGTCTTAGTCCCAGGGATCCCTGGTCATAGCTCGATAGTACCGACTGCAGCTTCTATCACAAGGAAACAGGATGGCAAGAGGAAGCCAGGAGACAAAGAGGTAAACCTTCCTTCTGTAAAGAGAAATGGCTAAATGTAAGATTTGCAGAATTAGGCCATTAGACAGCTTGTGGTCTTAAATGAATTAACCTGGTGAGCTTTTTTGAATTTGAGGCGATATTCAGTGCTTTTTCATTAACTTTTGGATTGAAATAACTTCACTGCTCAATTCCACGTTTCTACAGCTGTTAATTGAACCTGATATCTTGGGCTGTCTGAGCAAGACTTGGACACCCCCAACCCCCCCGCGTATGTTTCAAGTGTTTCATGTTCCCTTAACATTTTGATTTACCGTTAGTATTTCTTTTATTGTTTTAACTTGTTATGGGGAGCAGGGCCGGACCGCTATGCTGTGTGGCTGCAAGAACAAGCAGCTCCTGCAGTCTTTCAATAATTAAGCTCACCACAGTGATTAACTTGCCTATGTAACCCCTGGAAACTGCGGCCCAAGTTGCAGAGCAGTACTGGTTCTGAGACTAAAAATAACCTCTGTCTCTGGGAGGGAGATCCTTGGTCCACGCGGCTGAGGCCTACTCTGGCAGTGAGTGGGGTGGACGGCTGCTGCTATCCTGCCCAATTGCAGCAGATTGGATCCTCTGGCCTCTTGCTACTTAAGAAATGTGTATTTCATAGCTCTCACTTTGGTGCGGGATCCCCTGGGTGGCATACATGGCAGCATGTTACTAAAGTTGCTCAACTTTTTTTAACTCCCTCTCAGTGCATAAGCCTCTAAGAGTTACTAATGTTTCGTTGTCAAGCCTAGCACTATGGTAATTCTGTTTACCCGTTTAACCAAAAAATTGTGTGCGGGTTTATCATATCTACATTGTTTACTAGCTGTTACTCCTCATTACTGAATTCACAATGTATGAGATTATATTCTAACTATGCTATGCACATCATAAATTTTAAAAAATAAAACAACTTATGTTCTGAATTTTGTATCATACTGAGAAAATAAAGTTGAAATCTTACTAATCAGCCCAGCTTGATTATAATGAAGTATGGTTGAGGGCAGATGGAATCTTATGGCACACATTGGCATGTAGCTCCTGATTTTGCAACCTTAAACCTCTGTCCATCTGCAGTACCAGTGTTCAGGATCTCCTCAGATTAACCCTGGCAGACCTGGACTGTTTCTGACAGGGGACAGAACTAATCTTGTGGACAGACTTTAAAATACAGTATGTACCAGGTAACGAATGTGTCCTCCTTGTCAACAGGCCCAAACTGTGACAAGCTGCAGTGTAGCGGCTCATGTTGGCCAGTAATTTCTAGTGAGGCGAGTGTTTGCTTACTTCAATATTCCAAGATCTGTTTGAGAAATGTATCAGTGCTTTAGTGATTCATTCATCCTCCAAATATCTGTTTGGTGTCACTTAACTCTAACTTTTTTTTTTTTTTTTCAGGCCACCATCGAGGATCGATTGGATGCCATGGACATTGACACATCCAAGCAGCAGAGTAAAGGTGGGCTTCCACAGGCAGACAACTTTGCCGTTCTCCTGGTGCAAGGCTTGGAAAGTAATGACTCCGCCATCTTGAATGTAAGTATTTTTTTTTTGCGCAGTTCTATGCTAACTTGGTCATTTGTGTTTTCATTGGTTTTTGGTAGTGGCCCATTTCTTTTAAAGGTGTTCTGTGATGATATCAAGAGAATGGTTTCGCAAATTGCTGAAATTTTGTGATGTGTTAATCTCTTGGCTGTCTGAGCGCACTCTCTGCTAGTATAAGGTCTGCTGTAAAATTCCTCTTATCTGAGATCAGACGAGAGTATTTGTAACACCTTATGTGATCACTTTGTTTCTTTCTCCTGATGTATTCATCAAGAGTAATTTGTTTTAATGCTTGTGTAACGGACCGTTTCAGCACACAAGGGGTTAAAACCGTTTAGGCGATCGTCCCCTTCCAGAGATGCAGGCACAGCTACTGTAGAACACCAAACTCCCGAACCGCATACAATATAGCACTCCAAACTCACGAACTGGAACCATACGAATAGCTGCTAGCAGACGAATAGGAAAAGCACCCAAGCGGCTTACACTCCTAGCTATCAGTCTCTATCAGCATTCAGTAAATCCCCAAGACAAGGCTCTGTGTTGGGGGTCAAGCAGTGGTCTGTTTAATGCGGGCTACCTGCCCAGTATTTATGCAGGTCTCCCACCTGGTGGACACTCCCCTAGGGGACTAAATGGAAGACTGTGACAAAAGAAAATCAGCCAAACAGGACACAGTCACATTATATTCCCACAATGCATCCCGGCTTCCTCCCCCTCTGCCCTGGAGATAATTGAGAAGTAATTCAATTCTCCCAGGACAAAGGCAAATCGCCATTATGCACGTGGGGATACTAAAATAAGAATTACTATTAAAATACCCTACGTGACACAAGTTACAATAAAACTATACATTTAACATCCCTAGATAGCTCAGGTCTGAGCGCACATTATTAAGCGAATGGCGCTCAGACCACAGGAATACAGTTTAATCGCCATGGAGCCAAAGTCTTCACAAAGTCAGTTTTCATACGAATGAGCTCCATGGGATTCCTATCTGGGGTATAGTGCAGTCAGGTACGACTACCGAATACCGTGCCGTTCGTGTACTTCCACCGAACAAGAAGGGAGGTCGGCTGCTTCAGCGGTGTTCGCACCAAACTGTCCGTTTTTAGTTCCATGAGTTAGGCGTTGAACACCGCTGTGCGGTCGCGTGTTTAAAATGGCCGCGACCTCGTGTTCGGTATACGAATGGCGGCCACCCAGTATTCGTCAATTAAGCTGCGGTTAACCGCATCTTCTGGGAGGCTAATTGCCGGCACACTCCAGCTCCCAGGTGGTCTAGTCCTTCGTGCAGTTGTTCGGTAGATTGAATCTACCAAACACCGGGCAGAAAATCACGAATAAGTTTTTTTTCTGCAGGGGAAACCAGGTCTTTTAACATGGGGCCATAATCCAAAGGCAGCAGGCGAGCAACCAGGCTTCTCCAATGCAATGTGGCGAGATTGCTCTCGTCACAGCTTGCTTTGCGTTTTTACCCCCGTTCCCTATAGGTTTAAACAATGCCATAGACCTGCAGTGTGCACAGGAACATACATCAAATTTCTCTTCCATTGCTGCGTAAATGTATAGATTAAAAGTGAGCGGGTAGATAATGGTAAACGAACGTTTAGCGTTGTGCTTCACGTGGGATACTATTTGTATCCTGTTCATTGTCCCCTTACTGTACTGCTGTCTTGTTCTTTACAGAAAGTCTTCCCGTCCAAGAACGAGAACTTAATTCGAAAGACTGTGGCCAAGATTCCGGTTTATGCGGTTATTCCTCTCGTGAACGAGGTAAGATCCTTCTTGTCATTCTTCCCCTTTCCCCCTCTTATTTAGGTTGTCCCTTTTTTACAGAATTTTCCATATTCTGTTTCACTTTAATCTCAACACTAAAACAAAATGGATATAGGGACTCTTTTATTTAAATCCTTCTGGGATTGTTTTTTACTAAAGATTCAATCAGTTGCTTAATCCCCTCTATATTTTCTCTTGAACTGTTTGTCTTTTTGTAAAATATCTTTGTAAATGTTCTTTTGAGCCAGTGAATATATTTCTATACCTTTTTTATTTTTAGATTACCAGAAGATTACAAGGGAACCCTACAAGGTAACAATGTTAAACTATTTCCCATATATCCTAAGAATCGTTAGACAATATTAACAAAACCATGCGAAATACAAAAATTGGACAGATACACCAAAACGTGGATAGAACACACTCTTAGTGGGCAGCAGATAGGAAAAATCCTAAATACAGTTACCCTTGTACTGTTGGTACTGTAGATAAGGACTCCTCAAGGTCCTCAAAATAGTGCAAAAACCGAAAAGATCTACAATACAATAATAACAGAGAAAAACATAGTATAATACTGTTGTAGAAATTTAAAAAGTGGAGGATTGATATAATAGTTGCACTCACAAACCAAAATTGATTGTAGGCGTATCATCAAATTAGTGAAGACTCAAAATTCACAGGACATCGCGGCCAATATGGAGAAGGAAAGGAAAATAATAATAGTGCAGAGTATCATAATAAAAATGAATATTTTAATATAAAAATGCACTTACAAAATTGAAGTGAAATACAGGCACATCATACACTGTCAGTTCGATCACAAGGTCCCAGTAAAATGGAGCACCAGAAGGAACAGCAATGACGACAAAACAAATTAAAATTACAAATAACTGTATCCGCAAGGCGGATTTTGTTAAGCTAGACTGCTAGATCCTACGTTGCACTTTAATTTGCACTGCTGGGAACTGACAATAGTTGACAATGAAAGCTTGTATCTTTGTCCATTAGACAAATTCCTTTAATGTCTGTGTTTATCCAAATGCCAAGCAGACTACAAAGCATGCTTTGCAAGCACTGGGTGGGCTTTTTGCAGTTTGATTTCTAGTTTTAACCGGCTATATTTTGTTCAGCACTGTGTAATTCACTTTGGATATTTTCACTGACTTCCCATAACTTGCTGATCACTGTGCCTTTTTATCTCCAGTGCCCTACAGATGGTGAAATGGTTAAAAGCCGTGTTTGTTTCGCATGCTTCCTATCTCTCCACGGTGAGTAATTTACTCTGTTTTTCTTTGTGCTTGAAAATTTCTGCGCAGAATCATTATTTCAGAAATGAAATTTGGCGAAACCACAAACTTTCTTTTAATGCATGCACAAATGGTGACATTGTATTTCAATTATGATTTGTGACACCTTGTAATGTTTCTATATAACGTACAGCGCTTCATCAGGTTGTTAATTTCTTTATGGCAGGGAGCAGTCAGTACTGAGCTAAAATGGCGTGATTCAGTCTGTCTAGGATACATAGTGCGTAGCGTTAGCTCTCCGTATTCACATCACACCAGACCTAATCATGTGAAATGTACTACATAATTATCTGAGGTTCCATGACTGGCCATAGCCGCTCGGCAGAGACGGCAACAATTTATCAGCGTTTTACTTTCACTGACTGCGTAGCTGCTGTCCCCTCACACCAGGTGTAAAGAGTATTATTTACTTTGTGGCTGGAGATATTTATGTATAATTAATAGAATGCTTTGCTCCTCGACAGCTCCCCGATCTGGTTCCCCAACTTGGCACATTGTATCAGCTCATTGAGAGCAGAGTCAAAACCTTACAGAAACTGTCACGGCTTAACGGCAAGCTGTACCTCCTGGTCACTCAGGTAAGTGATCCTGAGATCTGGTTATATTGAAAAGGGGAGAAGGTGGTCTCGTGTTGGTACAATATTCATTTTAAGGGATTACCATGAATAAAACACTATAAAATGTTTGCGTTTTTGCTGCTCTTATATTTGAAGTACCTGCAATATTCCCTCCTCTCTAAATGCTTGTTTACTCCTCAGGTTGCTGCGTACGAGAAAGCTCAGCGCACTCATGTAAATCAAGAAGCGAAGCTGGTTTATGAAGAAGGTAAGCCAATACAATGAATTCCTGCTTAAGGCAGACAAGTATTTCATTTGAATAGTGCAATCCTTTCTTTCTAAGAATGATCTCTTAATTCACGTTGGTACGGTGCAGTTGGAATGAAATCTTTTTATTTATTTCTAATTTACAGAATCTTCAGAAGAGGAGTCTGAAGAAGAGCTTATTGCAGAGCAAGAGTCTGATGTAAGTTTTTAATTAAATGTGTTCCTGTTTATATGAAGGTGTGAAATATGACGGTCAGTATGACCGAGGTTTCGCAGTGACCGTTCAATAAAAGATGATTTGTCATCATGTACTTTGCTGGTACAGGGCAAAGGCAGTTGGATATATTTTAACATTTAAACCAGAGAACTAGAAGATCAGCCACTTTTTAGTTACCAGTTAAACAACTTTTTATTATACATCTGTGGAACCCTCTCTCCATTTCTGGTTTCACAGTTTTTCTAGTAAAGGTACATTGGGTCGAAATATTCCTGAACGTTCCAACCTTTTAGTTTTTTTTTTTTCAATTTGTTAGGATGCTGTTAAAATGTTCCTGTTAAACACTTCCTTACTGTATGGGTTTTACGTCTTGCTGTGTGCTCACTTTATGCTCCTTGATCTAGGATAATTGGGAAGAAGAGGAGGGTGAGGATGATGATGATGCAGAATCAGGAGAAGAAGAGTCAGAGGACGACCGAGACATGAACGTTGATAAAGTAAATGGGGATTCTGACCAGGACCTGGATAATGAAAGCGAAGAGGAGTAGCTTTCAGCTTTTGGAAAACTATAGAATCCGGACCTCAGAACCACTTTATAAACTGAGACTAAGCTTCTCCAGGAGCCGGCCACATTTCAGCCTCCAGAATGTTAACCGTAAACTGCCTTTCTTAACTCTTCCCCCACCCCCTGCGAGAGCCCAGTCCCATTCCACATTCTCCCTCCCTCCCCCCAATCTTTTGATTGAAGAGCGATGTTCTATCTGCGGACATATCATTTTGTGTTTGGAATAAATTGCCGCTACCATTGTAGGTTAAAAAAAAAAAAAAAATTGGTTTTATTTCAGTTTTTTTTGCTATTTAACCACCGGGGGAAAAGATGGCGTTCATCACGTGACAGTTGCACATTTACTTGGTATAGACCTGGCTGTCTGTACGAGATTGAAGATAATATACTTTTCCCTGAAGTGTAATTTTCAACTATATCATTAAATAGGACTGGACAAAATGTTTGTGTAATGGTTCTGGGATATATGCAGCCACCTTTAATTCGATCGTCAAAATGCATTGGGATCCTTGCAAAAATGCAGTTGAATTTTTTTGTTCTATATATTTTTTTGAATACAGCAAATACTCCTATTATTGGCGGAGGCAAAGTGCCGACCAGTGTCTATAAACAAATATGTTTGGAAATGTTGTGCAGAGCATTTCTAACAGTCCGTGTATGATTTTTCTTTATTCACTAAACCTAGGATTGTTTAATTCTTGTCCCACTGATTTTTACACCTGGAATTGTTTAAAAAAAAAAAAAGTTTTATTTCTTACAAAATTCCTAGTCTGAACAGATTTTTTTCTTTTTTTAATTAAGCTTGTAAATACCAATTTTGCAGAAAAAAAGCCAGTTTCCTTTTTTGAGTGTAACCCAAAAACCATGTTTAAACAAAGACTTTTTGCGTTCGATTTTGCACGGCAGAAATGTGGTTACAGGTTGTTTTTTGGTTTTTTTTTTAACTAAGAATAAAGATACTTTCAGTTTGATCTCTTTTTCTGAGAGCGGGCTGAGCGCTTTAACAATATAATGTACAGTATATTTGTCTATAAACTGAGCTGTTAATGGAAATATTGCCTCCTTTGTAAAGTGAATAAACCAAATCTAGTTCTCCTTTGACCAGCTTCAACGCTTGTTGCTCTCCATTGTCTTAATATCCTGTATGCGGTGTGATTTTGTGTCAGTCTGGAGGTCTTTTTGTGATGGAAGAGACTGGCCAAGAATCTCGCGAGGATCTGATTGAGTTTAGAATGCAAAAGGGTTGCTTGCTTGTTTAGAGTATTTAGCCCATTTAGCTACGGGGAACAATAATTCTTCCTGGATGTAAACGAAAGGAGCGCCCGATGTCACATCCCATTTTTCTTCGTAGCCCGATTATCTGTAATAAAGTCTTTAGAATAGTGACATGAATGCAGGACAAGAAAGGGTGAAAAAGAAGAGGTAAGCCATATAGTCTAAAATGATGTGCTCCTAAAAGGGTGGATAACGCCGGCTGCTAAACTACTACGAATCAAACCGATTAAAAAAAAATAGGATTCTTAATTGGTGATATTTACACCAGATAAGAGTGAAGAAATAGTGTGTGTAAAATACATTTATAAATACAATAAAACTTATTAAAAAAAAAAGTTGAACATAGGTGTACAATTACCCATAGGCACACACCCACATGTACAAATAATTACCGCTCGAAGTAAAACTCTTTACTGTATGAAAAGTGATGCCTGTAAACCAGTTTAGAACAGTATTTATCTAGAGATACCATGACCTCGAGTGGTGGAACTGTGGATTCTAAGTGTGATTAGATACTGTGAAATCCAACAAGTGCAATAGCTCAATCTCTGTTAATGGACAGTTACATGTGTCTTATGCTTATATCAGGTATACTAGACATGCAGGGTGTATCAAATGCTTAGAGCAGGGGTCCTCAAACCTTTTAAACGGGGCTAGTTCACGGTCCCTCAGACACTGCTGGGGGCCGGACTATAGTTTTACATTTAAAAAAACATTCCCATATATAGTGAAACAGACACATACAGATACACATACTAACATACGTACACACAGACAGACATACACATACTGACATACATACGCCCACTGACTGACATACAGATAGACAGACACGTACTGACATACATACAGACACTCACGTACTGACGTGCATACATACAGACACTCACTGACCTACACACACATACTGACATATACATACTCATGTACAAACAAATACATACATACACACAGGCATACATACAGATGGACACACTGACATACATACTAAAACACACAGATACTGAAATACATACAAATAGATACATACTGACATGCATACATAGAGATAGACACATACTGACATACATATACAGACATGTACAAACAGGCAGGCATACAGATAGATACAAACACACATACATACTGAAATACATACACAGAGACAGACAGACATACAAACACACATACATAAACACAGCTAAATTTTCTTAGTATTTTTGCAGGAAGGTGGCTGTGGCTGATGGGAGTCGGCGTGGCTCTTCTCCCTCCCGAGCGGATTTTGCTGGGAGAAACTGCGGCTGCAATTTTTTTTAAAAGGGCCTGTTCGCGCTATTGCACGGCCGCATTGCTGACCGGGCTCCTGAAGATATAGGGCCCTTCGGGTGGCCCTGAGTGCTGGGGCCAGGTTCAGTTTGAGGACACCTGGCTTAGAGTAAGTAGATACACGGCAGAGTGTCTAAAGAAATGTGTGTATATATATATATATATATATATATATATATAACCAAAGATATATATCTAGATTCTTTCGTACCCCAGATAATACATCATAATATAGCCTGACCGTTGCTGAGGAAGGTCAGATTTTCTCACATTGGTTCTGGTACTGAACCAACAGCAGGCAAAACAGTAAATTTGTGCTTTCAGTAATTTTGAAGGGGGAAAAAATACTTCTTGACTCAAAAATAGCATTCTTCATTAAAGTACCACTGTCACTCCCTTACCCTCCTTTCATAAAGATATAACCTTTTACCACAAACAAGACGAAGGACCTCACTCCATTCTCAGGAACCAAGGGGTGTGGACCGCAGCAGAACCAGCAAATCTTTAGTACATAGTATAATGTAGAGAGGCCTCAGGCGCTCACAAGGTTACATTTTAGGCAGATTTAATGGAGCAAAAAAGCTACAAGGCAACGTTTCCACCATAACCAAGATCTTTGTCAACCCAGTCAAAAGGTATAAGAAAGTAGGGACTCCTTTATCTCAGTATTTTTCCTCCGCCTGACAAAGCTTGCCACTAGGTGGAGATACCGCTCTGAAACCTTGTCATATTCCCGCAGTCCTCACTAGCGTCAGCTACAGCAAAATGAGCTCTTAAACCTCAATGTTGTAACTAGCGCATGCTTACAGCGCTGACGTGGGCTCCGGGCAGCTGAAGGGCCAGGAGCTAGAGGGGATGGCGGCGCCTGCGAGGGACAGGTTCAGGTAAGTAACCTTACCTTTGCTATCCTTATCGGACCCCAAGCGCGATGTCACTATAGGGGGTCTTGCAATTTATGAAATTTAATAAACCGCTTTAAACCTGCAATAACTACCAATCTCTCATAAATATAAATACAAGTACATATAATACAAAGGGAATCTGAGTATCAAAGAGTTTGTGCACATGGCTTGATCGATTCAGTATGCATCACCACCTAAAAAACCATGTAGAGACCTACTGTAAACTATTGATGGAAACATTCAAAAACTGCTACGGGCAAATTGCTTAAAGTGGCTTTATCACCGTCTTTGGTTTTTGCATATTTTTCATATGATAGTGACATTGTCTTTTCGTGTGCGGAGGCCAGGTGGTGCAGCTACGGTGAGTTTATTCATACCTGATACTGTTCATCCAACCCACCGGGATCCCGCGTCAGTAATGGACTCTCACTCATGACGCCATAGGTATTATCTTGCAATGAGCGAGATAATGCCTTATTACCATAACCATCGCTAGCGACAGCTGGGGGAAGTGACAAACCTTAAGGGCAGTAGCTCTGCCTATTTTCAAGTCAGAATTTTGCCTTAAGATATATTTCCTGTCATATGGTGACAGTATAGGAGGGTTGTTCCTTCCTTATGGACAAGTCTGCAAGACAGGAAAAAAAGGTACATCCCCCTCCAGGTATAAGATTCCCAAGTGCCCACCATATCTCAGTTCTTCCTTGTCCTCTGATGGAAATGGAGGAGTCATGGTGAGGCACATTCCAGCGCCAGTACAATTACAGGAGAAACACCACAGCCTCTTCAATTTCTAATGAATCTAAAAGCTCGTCTGATGTGGAAATTGGTTTTCTTCCAGGCTGCAGAAAGAGGATACATCTAGAGCGTCTCAAAAAAAGGTTTCCGATACAACCTAGATTAATAGAGCTCATGCAGAAATTATGTAAGAACCCAGAAAAAAGGACCTTAATTTCAAGGCACATTAAAGATCTTTTCAGGCTACAGGAAGAAGACAGATGGGAAGATTTACCTACTGTCGATATACTGGTGGCGAAACTATCCAAAAAGACCACTATCCCTATTGGTGGAGTGGCAGGATTGAAGGAGCCTTTGGACAAAAGGGCAGAGAATTCTTGCAGACACGCTTATCAAGCTGCTGGGTTTCAGTATAAAGCCGCTTTAGCAGGTTTTTTTAGTGGCAAAAGCACAAGGAGTTTGGCTTCTGGCTATGGAAGACCAAATTAAAGATCAAGTAAAGATCTGGTCCAGCTGATGTTTAACTTAAGGTTATCCTCTGATTTCATTTTAGATGCGTTAGTCGAGATTCTAAAGCTTTTCACACGTATCATGGGGCTTACTTCAGTTTCAAGAAGAGCTTTATGGTTGAGAACCTGGACGGCGGACACAGCCTCCAAATCGGTTCTATGCGAACGTCCTCTGGAAAGAAAGAAACTGTTTGGATCACCTTTAGAAGAAATGATGAAACAGATGTCAGAAACAAAGAAAGCCCTGCCACAAGAAAGGAAATTCACACAGAGACCTGAATATAAAAATTTCCAATTCAAAAACTGAGGATATCAAGATAAATATCGCAATTTTCAAGGACAGAAGGATGTTAAGTTTGAATACAAAAAAGATAACAGACTGGTAAGAAATAAAAGATTCTGACACTAAAAGAGTAGGAGGAAGACTTTCTCACTTTCTTCAAAGATGGAAAAAAACAACAAAAAACCCATGGATTCTGAAAATCATAGAATTTGGATACAGTATACAGCTCTCAGAAAAACCAGATCCAAGATTCTTAATCTCTTCATACAAAACGATAAAAGAAAGAAGTGCTTTATCTGGAAACTTTAAAACTTGTCAAGAAAGGAGTGGTAGAAAGGGTAACAAGAAAGCAAAAATTTAGAGGCGTGTACTCTCGCCTCTTCTTCGTACAGAAACCAGACCGGTTTTACCGTCCAATTCTGGACCTCAAGGAATTGAACAGGCTGATTCAATATCACCGGTTCAGGATGGAATCCAATATTTCTGTTACCCATATTTTACAGGAAGGAAACCAAATTGCCGCCATAGATCTAAAAGACGCCTACCTTCATGTTCCTATAGCCAAGACATCCAGAAAATGCAATAAAATGCAATAAGAAAGGGAAAAATAATTCTACATTTTCAATTCAGAGCTCTTCCTTTCGGCCTTTCCTCCACTCCAAGGGTTTTTACAAAAATGTTGGCACCAATTACCACTCTTTTAAGAGAAGGCATTTACATAATTCCATATTTAGACGATTGGCTGGTAAAAGCAAAATCACGTTGGTCTCTTATGAAGGCGGTAAACAGAACCTTATCAGTGCTGATGAAACACGGTTGGATCATCAATCAGGAAAAATCCCAATTACAACCCACTACAGTAATTCAGTTCCTGGGGTTTGTAATACATTTGGAATCTCTGTCACTACATCTCACTACTCAAAAAAGAGAAAATATCAGAAGAGAAGTTGCAGACCCTTAGAGGAACAGATTCTGTTGAAAAGGAAGATCATGTGTGTTCTGGGATTCCTCACCTCTACCATTCCAGCAGTCAGATGGGCAAAATCCGCCATAAGACCCTTACAATGGGAAATTGTATCTCACTGACCAAGAAGGTAAAAGAAAAATTATCTTGGTGGATAAACTCAAGATTTATTACAGAAGGCCTATCTTTTCAACAAAAAGAATGGGCTATATTGACAAACAACGCTTCAAAGACCGGTTGGGGAGCTCACGTAAATTACCAGATATGTCAAGGAAAATGGTCAGAGGAAGAAAGGATCAATCTTCAAACTTCAGGGAACTAAAAGATGTCTTGTATGCCTTAAAACATTTCAAGACTTTGATAGTAGGAAAGTCGATAAGGATTCAATCAGACAACAGCACCACGGTGTCTTATATCAACAAGCAAGGAGGCACCAAGATAAAAGATCTTTTCCAGTAGAATGCAGAAATTTTAACATGGGCCAAAGAAAATTTAACAGATTTATCAGCTATTCACATAAGAGGTGTAAAAATATAATTGCGGACTGTGGCGCACCGCCTGGTACCCCGCCTGGGTACCTCCGCTAATCACGCTTCCTAGTTATCACTGAGTAACATAAGCACTTACAGCCCCTAGCCGCCGCAGCTTGGCTGGGGTCTCACCACCTCCTCCCACCCTGGACCCAAGCCCTGGATCCAGCTCCCAGTGGTTAGAGATCTTCTACAGAGAGTATAGCAGGTATAGCAAGTAAAAGAGCAAATATAGCTTTCCCCCACAGACATTAGCCGAGACTTAATGCTGGGAGTGAACTGTTTAATGCAGGGCGACACACGGCCTTTTATCCACAGTCCCCTGAAGGGGTTTTCCAACACAGAGTTACAGGCAATCCCTCCCATGACCCTCTGTGCCTGAGAGATAATTGCGTGATGAAGCATCTTTAATTTAATTATCTCTCAGCTACAGAAAGATCTACAATAGTTCCCAACATCCCATAAAAACTTTTCAATATTTCAAAAGGGGTTAATTAATTACATGGAATGTCCTTGCTTACAACCCTAGTTCCTCTTTGAAGCTTGGACTCCAGCAGAGCTATTCTTTAGGGTGTGGGAAGTCACACAGAAGGGTCCTGGAAGTCTGAGCTCACATCTGCCATATGTCTTGCTTGCATCTCAGATAGGAAGTCTTTTGATATGGTAATGATCAAGCCTTCCAGAAACAGGAGACTCTTGATTCAATACCATATCCAAAAGAGGCTTAAAACCGAAATATAGCAGATTGGAGAATTTCTCAAGACAAAATAATATTTGTATAAGAGGGATACCAGAATTAGTGGGGCAGGTGGACTTCCCTAACTATATAATAGCATTTTTGAATTCCAGATTTTGAGAGGGCCCTTATGCTAGATAGAGTCCACAGACTCCCTCTTTCACGCAGTATCTCAAGGGAATTACCGCGGGATGTGATAGTGAAATTATATTCTTTTATTGTTAAACAAAAAATATTACAGAAAGCATTTGAATGTAAAAGCTTTGATTCACCTTATGAACAACTGAAAATCTTGATTATGGAACGTAAAGAATTCAGAACGATAACAAAAGTATTAAGATATAAAAATGTATCTTATAAATGGGGTTTCCCAACTAAACTAATTATTAAAATTGGTACGGAGTTTAAAGTAATCAACTCTCCACTACAGGGGGAAAAGTTCCTTAAAGATATAGTCCCATTGGGAACTGCTTAAGGTATGGTTATACTGAGATATTTGAGGGTGGTAATGAGTAAAGAAATGTTCTTCGGTAGATTTTCCGTGGGAGGTCTAAATAATGGTTTTAGGGGCGTTATACCTCTTCTATTTAGTTAATAAATTATGACACTTGGAATCCAATAACTGAGAGAGGAGAGAGAATTAGAGGGTGATAACGAACATAGAGTCCAGTGAGGACCGATTTCCTGGGGAAGATTTCAATTTTAGTTTAAGGGGGGTTATAGTCTTATCAGTGTTCTGACAGAGTAGATCATGCTGGATAGAATTAAATTATTTACTTGTTAAAAGGATCACTGGTTGATGGGTGTCACTTTTGTTATGGGCAAATGCAAATATTACAAGTTTTAGAATGAAATGTTGTATTTCTTAAACTGTGTACTTTGTCTTTAAGAGATATTGCAAACTGACAAGGTGTTAGAAATGGAACATATTGTTTTTCATAACTGTTTCTTTAAGCAATAACCTCAGTGCATAATATGTTTGCGCCATTTTGTCCCAGACGAATTACAATAACAATAATGCATAAACAAGCTTCAAGGCTATACTACGACTCTTTCAGTACACAATATACTGTGGTAACCCCAAGTTAATGGAACTTCCCCAAATCCGGGAATCTCCCACGACTGTACACTTACGACTTAGTATAAATAACAGATAACCTATTCAGACTTTAAGATGCCATCTTGAACTAAGTCAGGAAAATTTCCATGACGTATACACCCTTTAGTTATGGCCTTGTATGTCCTAAAATGAATAAAGTAAAAGAAGTGTTACTTTTTCATATATGAACTACGGTAACCCTAAAATGGAGACACCTAAGGTATAAATAGGTGTAATTTTAAATGTTAAGACACACAGGAGAGACTTGGAGACAGACGCTGCTCCATCTTAAAATGACAGAGAGGCTGACATGACGACTAGAGATGTCGCGAACTGTCCGCCGAACTGTTCGCTAACTGTCCGCCGGCGAACAATAGCGTGTTCGCGTTGGGCGAACATATCTGATTTCCGGTCTGCCCCCTATACGTCATCATTGAGTAAACTTTGACCCGGAACCTCACAGCCAGCAGAAAGACTGTGAGGTTCCGGGTCAAAGTTTACTCAATGATGACGTATAGGGGGCGGACCGGAAATCGGATATGTTCGCCCAACGCGAACACGCTATTGTTCGCCGGCGGACAGTTCAGCGGACAGTTTGCGACATCTCTAGTGGTCTACTGCATAGTAAGACTTCAACATTATGGCACGTTCTCAAAGGTTAGCGGAATTTGAATCACAAATACTCCCTGATTCCATTTCCAAGTCCGATCACTCCTATATTATGGATTCAGGAAAAGATTAATTCTCATTTGTTAGAGATATTACTAAAAGTAGGATGCAGATACTTAAGAGACTTATAAGTTAATAATGAATTACTTCCATTTGACTATATCCAGTCTAATTTTAATATTACAGCTAACATGTGGTTAGAATATAATAGGTTGAAATTGAGTATTTACTCATCGAGTTATCGCCTAAAAGAGTTTAGACAGTTGACTCCTTGTGAAAAAAATAATATGTTCAACAAATAAGAAGCATATGCTTTTGAAATGTTTTAGTCTTTTGAGAGATAGGGATTTGAACGCCAAATGTCTAAATATGAGAATTTGGGAAGAAGAATTACATCAATCCTGGCCCATGGAAATATGGTCGGCTGTTTCCGTTTTAACGGATAAATTAATTAAACATGTCTCATATAGGGAGTTGTACTTTAAAATTGTAAACAGATGGTATGTAACACCGCTTAAACTTTGGCAAATAAAGAAAGATGACACTTCTAAATTTTGTTGGAGAGGCTGTAACCAAGTAGGCTCAGCGATACATATGTGGTGGTCCTGCCCTCACGTACAAAGTATTGGCAGGAGGTAAAATATGGGGTGTCTCGTATTATTGGTAAAAAGATTAATTTAACCCCAGAACTGGCTCTGTTTCACTTCATACCTAGTCACCGCACAAAAGAACGAAAATCCCTCCTGCTTGGTATTTTTTCAATAGCAAAGTGGTTGATCGTTGTAAATTGGAAAGCAGGGAGGTTGCCAAAATGGTCAGATGTGGAAAGGGTGATGCAAAGAAACAGAGCATTAGAAAGAGAGGATGGACACTTAGGGGTTTACATAGCTCCGAAGTATAGGTGGGACCTTTGGGACGATTATTGTTTATCCCATGGACAAAATTCTTTATAGTTTTTTCTCCTCATCAGCTCACATCCCCATCGAACCTTGGAACAATGTTTGTGATATGTGCGTTTTTGTTAAACAGGGTTATTGAGGGTTTTGAACTGACTTATTCCATCTTCCTGGGTTATCCATTACACAATTTTTTGCATATCTCCTCATTCCTATTTATATAGAGTGCCTCTATCTTCTGTACAGAAGAGGTTCATATGTTATAGGGCTTCTCTTCTAGGACATGAATGCAGACGACGACCAATACGTGGAGTTGGAATATGCCTCTAATATAGGACAATGGGGAGATTGGAGATAAGAGATGGGTAGAGTACCCCCCGGTAGACTGGTGAAGGGCACAGGTTATTACCTGTATTTTGGTTTATTAGCATATTAAGATACTGTGACGAAATGCCTTTTGTCCCTGGATTGTTAGGTGACAAGCTGCCCTTTGCCCCCGACTTTTGGAGGAGCCTGATTGCCAGCCTCCTTCCTCATGACTATGGCCCTGGGGTGTATTGCCATTTAAAAAGACTATTTGGGGCTTATTGGCTTCTAAAGACAGTTTCTTCCCATTTGAATCCATGGGTAGGTGTGTTTCTTCCCCTCCCCCGTTTCCTGTCTATTGTTCTCCAGCAGGGCGTTGTCCCAGGCACACTGCCAAACCAGTTGGAACTGACTGCTTTTGTCCCTCCTTGGTTCTCAACAGCCCTTGCTATGCTTTACCTCGCGGAAAATCTACTCTGTTCATGGGATCTGAGCACTGTTCACCTAGATTGGGCGCTCAGATCCGAGCTATCTGGGGATAGGTTAAATGTGGGGGTTCTGTGTAATAAAATAAGAATTATGTATTTTTATGTACTTTTACGTATTTTGCTGTTAGTGTTAAATGTAGATATTTTCTGTACCTGGAGATAATTGAGTTTACTGCAGTGCCTTAAGCCAATTATCTCCAGGATGGAGAGGAGGGATTTCATTGTGTATGGGAGAGTATCATGTTAATTAGTGTTCCCATTGGTTTGTGTCCCTTTTGTCACAGTTTACCACCAGGTCCAGGGGGTGTGCCTCTGACATGAAAAATTGTATATAAGGAGTAATAAACGCTCATTGGAGTCAGATCATCTTGTACCTTCATGAAGTTTCGGCTCATGTTTGGGGGATTGGAGAAACTACACTCTGGGGATTGCTATAATCACTATACTCCCCAGGGTATAATCACTAAGCTCTGCTAAGAGCTTGTTCCTGTTCCTGCTCTCTGGAATTCGGAGAGAGGTCGACCTGCTGGAAGCTGGACCCTGGTCCTGGGTCCAGAGTGGGTGGAGACGGAGAGACCCCAACCAAGCTGCGGCGGTTATGGTGTCAGGCAGAGTGCTTGGAGTCCTCGGAAAGCACTAGGAGCATCCGTCGGCGTAAGGTACCCGGTTGGGGTGCCAGCGGTTCCGTTACAGATACTTTGTATTGTTTGATAGACTGTTGTATGTTGTTTTTTTTTTTGTGTAACCTGTGCCAAACCAATACCTATGTAAAGTGTGATGTATGTAAATTATTTTTATGTATTTTGTGATAAAACTAATAAAAATTTATCTACGGCCATACCAGTCTGAAAGTGCCTGATCTCGTCAGATCTCAGAAGCCATCCTGACTCGGGCCTGGTTAGTACTTGTATGGGAGACCAACTAGGAACCTCAGGTGCCATAAAAAAAAAAAAAAGTGGTCTCAAAACGATTGGTCCCTTCATCGAGACATCTTTGCTCTCCTCATAAGGAAATTTGGAAGGCCTACAGTAGACCTAATGGCCAGAAGAAAGAACACGGCCTTCGCTGCCCTCTACAGGGAAGATTTCCCTCTCTACATAGACGGTCTGTGAATCAGATGGAACTTCACCCTGGCTTATGTGTTCCCTTCAATCAACCTCATACTGAGTGTATTACAGAAGATCAGGACAGACCAGGCGATGGTATTGGCAATAATTCCATTCTGGCCGAATCGAACATGGTTCCCGGGCTTAAAAGAGATGGCTTCAAAATTCTGGGAGCTTCCTCTATCACCTCATCTGATAGAGAACAACGAAATTCCAATAGGAATTCTGCAAATGTTCAAATTGACGGCTGGTCTGCCGCACGGCTGATTCTTCAATTCAGTATCTTGTTAGCATCCACAAGACAATCCACTTCTAAAGTATATCTAAGAATCTGGCTGAGGTTTCTACATTGGTGCCATAAAAATCAGCGTCTGCATCTCTCGATCTATTGATTCTATCATAAGTTTTCTTCAGGAAGGTTTTGCAGCAGGATTAAGTGTTTCTTCTTTGAAGGTTCAACTTTCAGCACTTCTCTTTTACTTAGGGTGATTACTTCAAAAGCTATCGACAGTCCTATTGTATTACCTTAATTTTATGATCAAGCTTCTGCATCTCAAGAAAGAATCTGGCACATGCTGGATGTGAGAAGATCTCTAACAGAGTATGTCCCATGCTCCTCGCTCTGACCACCTGTTTGTGAATTTGGGGAAATTCAAAGGTAGTAAGGCCTCTAAAGTTACTATATCTAGATGGCTGGTGGATACGACAAAGTTGGCATATTCCTCATGTAACTTACCTCTTGCTACAGCTCTTAGAGCAAACTCTACCAGAGCCATGGCAACATCATGGGCAGAAAAGTCTTCTCCGGAAGACCTTTGCAAAGCAGCCCTCCTGGTCGTCCTACGATACTTTTATCAAGCATTACAAGCGAGACAGCTTCTCAGCCTCTAAAAACCTCTTTTGGGCAAGGTGCGTCATGCAGTAGTTTCCTGATACCCTCCCTTTGGTTATATTTGGAATCTTGTTATATGCCCCCTGTACTGCCATCATATGACAGGAAAAACAGCAATTTTTACTTACCGTAAATAATTTTTTCCTCAATATGGTGGCAGTATAGCTCTCCCTCCCTTTTTGCAGCAGTAACGTCTCTGTGTGTTTTCTTGTGTATTACTGAGGTATGGTGGCCGCTTGGGAATCTCATACCTGGAGGGAGAGGTACCCTTTTTCTATCTTCAGACTTGTCCCTAAGGAAGGAACATCCCTCCTGTACTGCCACCATATTAAAGAAAATACAATTTACAGTTAAGTAAAAATTGCTGTTTTTTTATTACATCCCCTACACAGTCTTTATGATTATTCACAAATATTTCTGAAATGCTCAAAAAAATTCCTTCTTTGGACAGTTGTTTACTGTTTATGGTGAAACGCTGCACACACAGACTCCAAGCACCATAGCCAATTTAACTCACTGAGGAACCCTTTACCATCTTCAAATCACACAATGTCTGGGTGTCAGATAACTAGTAAATCTAAAACCTAAAAAAGCTTAGAGACCAACATTTTACGTGTAGTTTCACCCTCCTTCCTTCGGACTGTAAGCTCTTTAGAACAGGACCCCATTTTGGCTCTCGGTTTCATTTCCAAAACTTGCTTTGCCTCATTCCCTGTCATGTCTCAGCCAGCGGCTGAATCTCATATCCATTAATGGGGGAGATCAGTGTTTGCAGTTTATTCACACATTCCCACACTCAGCCTCTCCTGTTCCTTGTGGAGGGAGGCACAACTTTCTCACTAACAGGCTCATTCTTTAAATTCTGCTCCCGTCTACAGGGGGGCATTATCTCTGAATGATTTACAGCCATGGGAACCGTTACCGGGGGCAACCAGGGAAAACATTCCTTCCCATAGCTGCGTCAAAAATCCCAAACAATTAATAAGCCTGATTATTCCTCAATATATCATCAGAGAGTCTGTGTGTCCGGTGGTGATAGGTTTGGCTGGAGTACTGGCAGTGAAGTGCATTGGCCGAGTGGAGGGAGACGTCTCCTGGCTGGTATAAAGCTGACATACAGGTTTCATTCACTTTCTTTGGCTTTTATGCTTTTTTTTTATATTTACTTTAGAAACGTGTTATTGTTTGCATGTGGTTTATTGCGGTGGA